ATGGACAGTAATAATTCCAGAATGCTTATGAGGCTCAATGAGATGATTTACAAGTGCTTAGCGTAGTGCCTGGTATATACTTAAGTTCACTGCAGGGATGTGGTGACACCAGAGGATTCCCTCCCATTCCGCCCCTGACCAGAAGGGTTCCTGCTCAGAGTTGTATAGCCAGCCATCAAGGCAGCTGGAAACTGCTAGGGAGCATCCAAATAAAGGACAGAGACCCAATACATAGGCCATAGGTGGCAGCTGGAATGGTCAGGGGAATCCATGGTCAGAGCCACAAAACCAAGGCAGAACAGCAACTTGCTGAGAAAACAGACTGCACAGGATGATCCAAAGGTAGAACCTGAGGACTCTCGACAAGTCACTAAATCCCAGGTCTGAGTTGGTCAGGGGACAGAGGACAAGCTTCAGGAATAGATGGGAGTTGAGCTGTTGGTCAGGGACTTTGGTCATTCTGCTCCAGGGGAGGGTGGAGACAGGAGGGCCTCCTAGCCTAGCCCCCCGACGCCCACAGACTTTTATGTGAATGCTATAGGTGTATATGACACAGCTGTAGGTAATGAGTTAGCTTTAATATGAAAGAAGAGAAAATTATTTGGAAGTAGCTTAAAATGAAACTTTTATTAAGCCGTCGGTAGGAACAAAAGCTACTTTTAGGAGTTTAGTGTAAATAAAGTTCAGTCACATGCTCCTCTCACTGCAGAAGTCAAAAGTAGCCCCAAGTTAAACAGAGAAGTAAAATCTCCATTCAGAAGACCCTTAGACATTATAAAAGATTATTGATGAAGACCTACATGTCCATTTCTAGGTACCCTTTTTAGGATCTTATCAATGTATTTAAAGGATTAAAAATATATAGAAAATAGTTTGAATGTCTAGATTTGGCATTATCTTGACTTCTTTGACAGTAACAATTAAAAATTCTAGAATATAAGATGTTTTGTACTTAAATTCAATCAGCTATCATTGACAAACATGTTCTTTGTCCCTGAGAAAGTGTGAGAATGACAGATTGTTTCTGCAGAGGAGAACTTCAGTCTGGGAGCCTATCACCAGGATGTGAGAGCTTGAAGGCCATGAATTTTATTGGGTGGGACAGTTGCCCCAGGTGGAGAGACCAGAATTGACCAAAGAATTTTCTCCTTTTTTTTCAAGTATGGGGAACATGCAAAAGGCTAAAGCAGAGATTGTCAATCAGCGAGATCAGACTCTTGCCCTCCAACTTGTGACAGGCTTCATGGACAGGCAGATTTTGTACATTCAGACAAAATCTGAGCGTGAAAGTTTAAAGTACATTTAGCCTTCAGTTCCAGCAGTTCCCACATTTAGCCAAGTGTCAGAATCACTTGGAGAATTTTTGAAAATACATTCTTAGCATATATCCCCAGCTTGCCTGCCCGATCTCTGGAACCTGGTCCAGTGGTCCTTTGTGATTGGATGCCATCAGCCCCAGATGTTTGGGCACCACTGCAGAGGAACGGCCCTGGAATTAGTACAGCATATTTTGCCATTGTAGGTCACCCCGCTGTGGGCCAGTTTCATTTCCTCTGTCCATCTCCACGCCTTGAGAGACACTGTTGGTGACCATAGTGTGGGCCCAAACCTGCGTATAGTTCTGAACACAAGCTGCCTGCCTGCCTCTGTTTGTGTTAACATTTTTAAGATGGGAAGTGAATGGCTTATCTCACTCCTGAGGAAGTCTGACTGATTCGCAGGAGGTTTTCTAAAATGTTTTGAACAGATTATTCTGAATGTGGGAATTTCCCTGAAGTCACTCAGGTTTTTAACAAGGGGAAATCCCCACAGAGGCTACAGTGGCTGGGAAAGGAGTGGGGCTCACTGGGGAGCCAGTGTCGGTGATTGCCCAGCCTATCGTGAAGATGGTGACACCTTCCCGGCAAGGGCCTGACTGTGAAACACACTGCGTTACTACACACCTTCCTTTTATTTAACAAAACATTCAACAGCCACCTGTCACCTGCCCCTCACCACCTGTGAGACAGGTAAGAAAGGTGGCATTTTTTTTCCTTTACCAGTGAGAAAACAAGGCTCAGAGAGGTTGATTCTAAGGTGGCCTAACTGGGACCCTAAGCAAGATTTTTGAACAGCTGGTTCAGGGCTTTTCAAATTCTTGGATTCTGATCACCAGCCCTTCACTGCGAAAATAAGCCAGACTGAAAGGAGGCTTGTTGTATGTTAACATACAAGCAACATACAACAAGCATATAATACTCCCACCAGGACGTGTACTATTTTATTTTGGTGTATGCAGATAAATTTCCTATGGGGAGTCCATGTGTTTTGGCATGTGTTACAAGATAGTTGTCCATTGTTGGTGAGGTCTGATATTTCTTGTCGTTAAAACTCACCTTTAGAATCAGTTGTCAGGTTTCTTCCCTCCACAAATGTAAAGTCTAAGTTCAATCAGAAGACGATCTGTTCCTCTCTAGAGAAATGTGAAAACTAATATCGGCCTTATAAAAAACTTACATTGAGTTTGTGACAGTTTCTGCTGATTTTTTTTTTTAAAAAAGCCATCTCCTCTATAGATAAGTTGTTTCCAGTTCTAAAGCTGTGTCTGGCCAGGCCTGGCCATGTGGACTGGGAGTGACCTCCGCTAATAGCTGCAGCTGGAGAGTTGATCTATTCACCCTGGACATAAAGATTTGGAGAGGATAAGAATTCAGAACCTGCATCTTAAAATATGACTGTAGAAGGAGCATGGCTGGTAAAGGGATAGATGAGCCACAGGAGGAAGGTGGCCCCCGTACAATGCCCAGGACGACAGCCTTCCCAGAAGGATGTCAACTGTGATGATTAAACAAGAATACTGCAAATTCATTTTGTATGTATTTGGAATATTTGTACATATTTATTCTATGGAAATACATATTTATTCTATGGAAAAGGTACGCTGTCTCCAAAATGTCCCTAGCCAGAGGTATGTGCTGAAAAACCAGTGTGCAGAGCTTTTGGATGATAGAGGGTATCTTATTTGTTTGACTGCAGCTTTAAGAAGTGCTATGGAGGGCCTCCCCGGTGGCGCAGCGGTTGAGCGCTGGGTTGCGAAGCTCCCCACGGCCTCTGCGGCGCCAGTTCGATCCCCGGCTGCTCCCAGGCCACAGGAGGAGGGTCCCACATGGTGCACAGACCTCTCCTGCCACCCACTGCTCCCCTCAGCAGTGTACTTCAGTCCTTCTGCCTGCTCTGCTCCCTGCTCTGGCTCTGGTGAATTCTCTCACCCTCCCGCGCTTCTGACTGTACCCAGTGCATGTATAAACAAACAAATAAATAAATACATGGAAAAAAAAAGATTTATTAAAAAAAAAAAAAGAAGTGCTATGGAAAGAGAACACATTCTATTGGCTCTCATTATCGTATCTAGGAGTTTGGAATTTTAAAAGTGATTTCAATTCACAACAGTCTTTGCTCCATATAGATAGATATGCAGATATATATATATATATAAAATAGATTATATAATATATATATATAATAGATTATTCCACCTTAAAAAGAAAGAGGATTCCGATGTCTGCATGGACTTCCAGGGCATTGTGTTATGTAAAATAAGCCTGTTAGCAATGAAATATCTGAAGTATCAAAATCAAGGAAACACAGTAGAAAGGCTATTGCCAAGGAATGGGAGGAGGAAAGAGGGAGGATTAGGATGTAATGGATATAAAGTTTCAGTTTTGAAAGATGGAAGCTATCTGGAGATAGGCTACACAATAACATGAATATACTTAACACTTCTGAAATGTGTGCTTTGACCTTGTCAAAGCAGTTAATGTTATTTCTTTTTTCACAGAGAGAGAAATTAAATTTACTCTTTATTTTTGCTATATTCATTTAATACTGCCAAAGCATGTTTTGAAAATTAAATGTAGTTCTACATCATGCAAAATTCCCTTAAATAAGAAGTCAGCATTGTTCATCTCAATGTATAGCCTTAAAGATTTGAAGTCATTGAGGCTAAGTAATATTACAGTTACTTAGTGGGCAAGTGGTCACGCGTGTGAAGAGCCTGTGGTGGTTTACAGAGGTGGCACTCAGGCCTGTGGTTTGGGCGATCGTGGTGAGGTCTACCCAGCACAGGTGGAGTGTGGCTTTGACACTCCTGAGGAGGAAGCTTGTGTTAGTGGCGCATAGTCGGATTACAGAAGGCCTCGAAATACTGCAGAAGAATTCTGTCATGTGCACTAGATAACTACTATGTAGTTTCTTGTGGAAAGGATGAAACCACTATTTTAAGTAATTTAAGTAAGTACCATGGGGTGTCTTGGAGGGGTATGTGGGGCAGGAGGCAAGAAGACTTGCTGGGAACATGCACTAGCTAGAGGCAGGGCTGAATGTTGAATGTGAGGCAGGAAGAGCTAGCACTGTGTAGTCCAGCTAACCATCAGGCTTCTGGAATGCTTAGTTCCCCACCCATAAACAATTTACAGTTGAGTTGAAAAGCATTTATTGGGTGCCTTCTGTGCCAGGTCTTATGCTCAGCACTGGGAACACTTAGAAATACGCTGTCCCTTCCCTACAGGGAGTTCTAAGAAGGGGAACATATATGTAAAAATAGTGAGTGTAGGGGAATAATAGAAAACTGCTAAGCACAGATAGGGCATCAGAATACAGCATTAAAACCCCTCCCATCTAAACACCAGATAGGGAAAAACCCCACTCCATAAAATGCATGTAGATTATAGGACAGGAACACAACGAGTCATCAATTTAGGGGGCATTTCAAAGTCATGGACGCGGACAAGGTTGGGAAGGAAAGGATAAAATAAAAAAAAACCCAATCAGATATCTGCAGACCCAGCTGGGAATAGGGATCAAGAGTTAGGAAAAAAAGGTGATCAGTAGGAATAGGGGATCAGTAAACAATCTACTGTCCAGAATGATGTGGAAATACTAAATTTTGGGTATTGATCTATTTTTATCATTCAAGAAATTTTTTAATATTAAAGTAGTTTTGTCTTATCCCCAATAACAAGGTAACTCTGGACGACACAGCAACATCCAGTGGGGGTCTGGTAAGGAGACTTCTACTTTCCTCTTCTGTAAATTGGGGGAACTAATACCTGCTATGGTGCATCCCTCCTGTGAATTATATGAGCTGATAACCCCAACCCACCCCCACAAGCACATACACAGAAGTGCCAGGCACATTATCAGAGCCCTATGAAATAATGCTGAGCTTCTGTAATGTTTTTCAGTTTAAAGTGCTTATTTCATCGTTTCATTTGAGACCCACAGAAACCTAATAATACTTATATGTTGAGAATTTACAAACAACCCTGTAAGATGGATATTTATTAGCCACCTTTAATGTGTTAAAAAAAAAAAAAACTAAGAAGGGAACTTTACCAAGGAGCTACAATAAAATAAAATATAAAACAAAAAATGTGCTGCACTTTTATTTGAGGGAGATCTGTCTGACCCACAGGCTCTGCTCTCAGTCTTCTGTATTTCTGTCCCTCCCCCCCTCATCCAGCCAGCAGATGTGTACCGAGTGTGTGGGAGAGCCAGGAAGGGGTCTGGGTACTAGGAATAGAGTTAAGAATAATGCAGACTGAAGCCATTGCTTCAGTGAAGCTTACATTGTACCTGTGGGAATCAGAGAATAAACAAAATAGACTGTGGTAATGCTGTGGAGAAAAATAAAGAGGAAAGTGGGGGTAGAGTTGTCGGTTTTCAATGGGATGGTCAAGGAAGGGCTTACTGAGAGTGTGTGCTTGGGGCTGAGGGTTAGGAGGCATAAGAAGCAACCTGCCCTCAGGAGCAGGCACCTGGCATGTAAAGCCAGAAGCCACCTGGGTCTGGGCTGAGTGAGTGGGAGACAGAGTCTGTCAGTGGGGAGAAGGGGGTGTTCTTCAATGACCAGGCTTTGTCCCCTGTGGATGATTTGGAGCTGCGGAGAGACATGATCTAAGTTTGAATTGGTATTGGGACTGTGATAGGAAGACCGGTGAGGGACTGCTGGAAAGACCAGGTCCAGCATGCCTCCACGGGAGAGTCAGGATTCATTGATGAATTGAACATGGGATAAAAGAGGCAAAAGAAAACCAGTGATCTCTGAATAAACTTGCAAAGTGACTCCCTTTTTGCAGATGGGTAAAGTGAGGTGGGAAGAGGAGAAGTGACTTAAGTGACTTTACTCCAAGGTCATGGAGCTGGAAAATTAGTAAAACTAGGACATCAGCACAAATATTTTACACCAAATTCCCTAGATGGTCCTTTGTGCACATTACATTGCTCCCTCCCTAGAACTCCTGACACACCTCACTCTCCAGAAGGCCAGGTTGGCAGTCTCCAGCATGTAGAACCAACCATCTTTGCTCCTACAGTGCCCATTGATGATGGTCCAGCTCGTCCATAACGTTGGAACATTCACTGTTGCAATCTTTCTCGTGAGGCACCTCAGCCAGAGCTATTTCTCTATTTATGACAGCAACTCCAAGACCATCCAGTATGTGAAAGACTATATCTATTTCCAGAGAATTCTAATGGAATCCTTTTTTTATTTTCTTTTTTTATTAGACTCGTGTAAATTGTGCGTTGGTACATTATTATACTGGCTTTTCCTCCCTTTGCTGATTTTCACAATAGCAACCAGATCAAATGGTAAAGAATTTTTCCTGGGAAAACACTGGTGATTGGGTCTTTGAAGGGAAAAAGTGTTATTTTTCAGAGCTTTGCTGGGGAAGGAGGCGGAGATACTGTTGTTTTACTGAGCTTCACTTCTTTTGGCTCAGCCACAGCTGAAATATGATAAGGAGAAATGCCATAGGTGCCAGGCTGTGCCAGATCAGTGCTTGCTGAAATGTGAAGATTCCTGCCACTTTGGGACCCCTGAAACACCAAGGATTTGTATATGTTCTCACCAGGAACGCCAGAACATTTCAGCTGTTAACTAGTTCTGTTGGGTACAGTGGACTCAGAAGCTGCTCTAACACTGGTTAGAGAAACTTGGTGTTGCTTCCTTTGAAGTTTAATAAGAAAAATTCCTGCATGTGCAAAAAAATTTATATTTGCTTCCTCAAGACTGCACCCCACTCACACACACACAAGGTAAGGGCACCAGTTTAGGAGGACACCGCGCTGTCTGCATGTTAGCACACTGGCCACAACCTCAGGAGGCGGAAATCACCACAAGCCATCTACCTCATATACAGGCTCGAGCAACTCCCCAGGCAGGATGGCCTGACCCCCTCAAGACCCATATCTCCCAGCATTGGGCCACAGTTGCACTGCCAGCCTGCACTCCCAAGGAAGCTCCCCTGAGAGAGGGCCCTGATTGGTGGTATCACACTCCATTGGGGACACACTCTCCCCTGCACATCCACCGGCCTGCAGTACCGTGACCACGTGCTACCTCCCTTCCTCCATGAATCGGTGACAAGCTGAGGCTTAGCAGGTAGCATAGGGTCTGGAGAGCTTTTCTCTGCGGCTTAAACTTTGTGGTCAGGTCCAGGAACATCCCTCCCCTGCAATCCCTTGTCTGAGGGAGCTCATGTTCACTTTCACCTCTGAAGACAGAGGCCCAGTTTTCCTGAATAGACTGGGTACGGGAATAGGAGGAAGCCAGGGACACCATGTATCAGTGCCCAGGACCCACTGTCCTGCCAGACCTCCAACTCAGCCTTGTCAGTTCACCGCACGTTCACTGACTTTCCCCCTGTGCAGTCCACCATCCCAGGTGGTCGGGAAGATGACCTTTTACCTACCTGGGAGAAATCTGCAGGCAGATGGTATGGCTCACCACACAAGTGCCACTGTAAGAGTAAGCCTGCTCCACAGGGCTCACTCAGAGACTTTGAAGGGAAGTCACTGCAGAGGGGCACCCCAGGCCTCTGAAAAGCATATGTAAAGCATGGCCAGCTTTATCCAGGGCTCAGCTTAGAAGACAGGCTTCAGGGGCGGAGGTGGGCCTGCCTGTGCAGACTTGCTCCCAAACTCCCCAGCACCTTACTTCACGTGCTCTGGTAGCTCTGTGGTTTTGTTTACCTGACTGACTTCATCATTCATAATCATTTCTGCTTAGTGAGGAAAACTTAATCCAGTGCATGAAATATGATCATATAGCTTCTTTTCTCAGTGTTTATTACTGCCACCAACCTGACACCCACCCATAGCCTTCATTGTTTTAGGCTCTGTTTACAGAATGTGTTGTCTTTAAAAAGTTACCACAACAGCTTGGCTGAAGTGACGAAAAGAGGGGAGGAGCACTGTGGACAGCAGGGCTGGGGGCATGGTCTAGACTATAGGTGTGTTTGTCTGAATAGCAGCTGTCCGCATGGGGTGGCCTGTGAATATAATATGCACATCAGATTTTGAAGACTTAGCACAAAATAGAGACTAGGAAACATCTCATTTTTTTTCAAAGTTAAATTTAGAAAGTAGACCTGTCTTCTGTGGGTGATGTTATTACAAAATTGAGCTTTATAAGTCCTTGAAAATAGCAAGGGCAGACAGCACTCTCCCCCTGCCATCTCCAGCCAGCCCTTTATCCTTACCACCACACTGACTTAACTTTTTTGTTACTTCTTAGTAGCACTCCAAAAGAACAATCCCATTGCTTTTTCTAGTCCTTGAGCCCCCACCCCCATCCCAGCCCTCAGTATCCTCCACATTTCCTTTCTAATCTAATCTCTTTTTTTTTGAAGATTTATTTTTATTTATTTGTGTCTACAAGAACTGGGGTGTAGGCCAGAGGTGCAGGGAGGGGGGCGGTTGGAGGATTCACCAGAGACAGAGTGGGGAACAGAACAGGCAGATTGACTGAAATACACTGCTCAGGGGAGCAGCGGGTGAGGCAGGAGAGGTCTGCTGCGCCAGTGGGTAGCTCCCTGGTCGGGGATTGAACTGGGGCACTTGGGTTGTTTCCTTAGTTTAGCTACAGTAAATAATGCTGCAGTAAACATGGAAGTGCAAGCTTCCTTTCAAATTCATGTTTTTGAATTTTTTTGGATTGATGCCTTGGAGTGGAATTACTGGGTCGAATGGGAGACACAACCATACTGCTTTCCCTCAAGGCTGGACTAGTTTGCATTCCCGCCGGCAGTGTAGGAGGGTTCCCTTTTCTCCACATCCTCACCAGCACTTGTTGTTTCTGGTCTTTTCAGGGTAGGCCATCCTCACAGGTGTGAGGTGGGATCTCATTGTGGTTTTGATTACGTTTGTCTAATAGTAAGTGATGGTGAACATTTCTTCATGTGCCTGCTGGAAGTTTAAATGTCTTCTTTGGAGAAGTATCTGTTTAGTTCATTTGCTGATTTTTGGATTGGGTTATTTTCTTTGTTTTTGTAGAATTTTATGAGTTCTTTGTATATCTTTGATGTCAGTCCTTTCTCAGATGTATGGTGTGTAAATATTTTCTCCCATTCGGTAAAGCAAAAGATATTTTTTGGTAAAAATTCTGTAGAATTCTTAGTTCTGATTTTGTGAGTTTCAATCCGTGTGTGTGTGTGTGTGTGTGTGTGTGTGTGTGTACACAGACCAATTAGAAAGAATGACTATATATTTTGACTTACTATATTGTAGGGATTATTTGATTTAAATTGTATTAATGCCTTACAAGTCAAAGATGGAAATAGATCACTTTTTAAAAAATGATTATGTTTTTCATTTTCTTTTATTCTTCATATCTAGCAACACATTCCTTAGAAACATTGTAATTTATATTTGCATTTTTGATATTCAGCTAAGTTGCAACAGTTCACCCAATATCCTAACTCAGAAAGTAACACTGTGCATTGACAATGCTCTGAAATGTCCCTTACTCTTTTAATGTTTACTGAACTAACTACTCCTGTTCTTCTTAACATCAATTACATCCATTGCTACCTTTAAATTAGTAATAGATCATAGACATTTTCTAATGATTAATTTCCCATGGGGATGTGATCTCAAAGGTTAATTAGTTTGTCATTATAAATTTTTTGTAAGCTGTGCCTTCTAAACTATAACATCACTTTCTCTTCTTCTTTTTTTTTTTTTTTTTTTTTTTCAGTTTCATCAGATGGCGGTACTGAATCTTCTGCCTTAGTGGATGACAACGGCAGTGAGGAGGACTATAGTTATGAAGACCTTTGTCAGGCCAACCCCAGATACCTCCAGCCAGGCGGGGAGCAGCTGGCCATCAACGAGGTACTGGACTCCCTCATAACAGTGGTGAAATATTGGATCCCTGATTTTCAGGGTCCAGTGTCACTTTAGACTTTGCTCTCTAGTATACTCTAAAACGTAGAGTTCTAATTCGAAAAACAGACTCTAGTTGGTTTTTGTAGCATTTTCAGAGACAATATATGTTAAGTTTTTCAGGTAACTGAAGATCATCCCATTAAGTAGTATAAACAGCAGTTTAATGTGTGGGTCCTTCCCTTCAGTTTATGAAATGCTCTCCCACCCATTAGCTCCTGCAAACCTCGTAAGTGATTTAAGAGACCAGTGTTATTGTCCACAATTTTAATAAGAGGGTTGTGTAACTTTTTAGTAAATGATAGCTGGAATTAACCATTTATTTCTCACTACAAATCTGGTGTGCTTTCTACCAGTCTGTATCTTCAGCCCTTTCTATGGAAATCTTTCTAAAAGGTCCTGCTAGTGTTTGATGTTCTGAACAGTGTATACGGAATATAACTTCTAGTGAGTTAGTGTACCATTCATACCACCATCTTTTGCTCTGGAATATGATTCTTTCCCTGGTTGCTGAGGAGACCTGCAGTCAATCTTCTGCCCCATGGCCAACAAACCAATGAGCAGTTTCTGTTCTTTACCTTTTTAATTAATGGTTAATATCCAGGGATCTTGCTGTGTTCTCCTTAATTGTATTAACCTTTAAAGTTAGATACAAAGCTTATTCAGATTGTAAATAATGAAGAGTAAGTTCTGATAAAGCTGTGAGGGCCTTGCAGTAAAGCGTGTCTGTATGGCACAACTTACCTCGATGGAGCTTATATCTAAGATACCTAATTTGGGGGCTCAAAAACCATATTTGGGGTGAATAGTCCAGATATTCATATTTGCTAGTGAACTGACCTACAGATAAATGAGCTATTTATGCATTATTTAAAAAGTGGTTTAGGGTTTAAGAGCCTGTAGAAGAGGCCTGCCAGGTTTTGTTTTCCCTACGTGTTTTTTTGTTCATTTTGTGTAACAGTCAAGTAAAGAACAAAAACCATCAGTGTATACAAGCAAGAACCAGAAGATGAGCATGTCATCCTGAAAAAGCACATAATGTCTCCCTTACTGCTCTGCCCACCTGGTTTTTGCACTAAGAATGATTACCCGTCTCCATTTCAGCTGATCAGTGATGGCAGCGTGGTCTGTGCTGAAGCCCTGTGGGACCATGTGACGATGGATGATCAAGAACTGGGCTTCAAGGCAGGAGATGTCATCCAAGTTCTAGAAGCCTCTAACAAGGACTGGTGGTGGGGCCGGAATGAGGATAAGGAAGCCTGGTTCCCTGCGAGCTTTGTCAGAGTACGTGTGTGTCACCTTTCATTTTTCCAAGTATCTCTGGGGGAACAGTAGAGTTGTTTCAGCTAATACTTACTCTATAGTAACTTAGTTATTTGTAATTAATTTAATCAGGCCTCTTAGAAATTAGACTGGGCTACAGGAAAACTTTTCACAGAGATAAACTAGGTGTTTGGCATTGCTGCTGGCATAGTGTGACTCTGCTGATACAGGCTAGAGCCAGGCTGCCCTCCTAACTGGCTCTGAGAATTGGAAACCAGGGACACTTCCCCCACCTTCCCCCAAATCATCTGTCCCCATGTCTGCTCCCTGCAGTTGCGAGTCAATCAGGAAGAGCTCTCAGAGAATTCCAGCAGCACCCAGGATGAGGAGCAGGAGGATGCTGACAAGACCCGCCACAAACACTCTGAGAGCAAACACCAGATGAGGACCAACGTCATCCAGGAGATCATGAATACTGAGCGGGTGTACATTAAGCACCTCAAAGACATTTGTGAGGTGAGCCATGGGACCCGAGACCTTACTTAAACACTTAACTGTCTCGTTGGTGAGCAGAAACCTCTCTGACGTGCTGTTGCAGTCACCTTACATTTTAGGACACCATGCAACCCTGTCTTTTAGGACTTAACTCCTGAGATTTTTCAATGGTTAACTTTCGGAGAAGGCCACCCTTTAAGTAACCCAGTTAACTTTACAAGGAATCAAAGGTTTGTGACTGTGTACACCTAACTGCATCTAATTGCTGCTGACTCACGGATGAAAATAAATTATTTAGACCAGACAGAAAAAATTGGCTTTATCTAATTGTACTCTAAGCTCATTCTACAGTGTCAGAGTCGTGTACTCTACAGTAAATTTTATTTCACACAATTTTTATTTTTATGGATTTTGCATGCTCGTTACACTGAACTTGTTGTCTGCTCATCTGATGCTTCCTGCTGTCCTGGCTGTGAGTGCAGATCTCTGCACTCTCAGTCCAACTGTGACAAGTCGTTCCCAAGACCAGCTAAAGCAAGACAACTGCCCATTCTTTAACAGGATAAGTGGGCCAGATAAAGACATAACAATGATATTCAGCATATTTGTGCTAATAACCACCTTATCCTGTATACATAAGTGGCTAAGAGAATTTCTCTAAAGTGGTATTTTAGAAAAATAAGAGTCATTGCTAATAGTTGCTGAGCACTGCCTACACCCCATCCCTTTACCGAATTATCTTATCAAAGACAACACTCTCACTAGGCAGGTCCTGTGCCCTGTTACAGATGAGGAAGCAGGCATGGAGAAATTCAGTGGTATGGTTGGGTTTCAGACCAGAAAGTCTGCCCCAGGGACCTGTACTCTAAACTTTCACACTGTCTTTCTGTTAAAATCCATACCCAGTAGTCAGTGGTGTGTATTTAAGTCCAATCTGTTTAATTATGTGGTGCTAATTGGGAATAACTATTACACATTTATGTCCTTTCTTTCATATGTCATTAACTCCTCCCAAACCATAGTATCATCACACTCTAGTTAGTGCAGGTCTGGGATTAAAGATTGATGCTGTACTCTGCAGTGCCGGTTTGATCCCCGGCTGCTGGCGAGGGTCCCACATGGTGCGCAGACCTCTTCTGCTGTGCCCGCTGCTCCCCTCAGCAATGTATTTCGTCACTCTGCCTATTCTGTTCCCCGCTCTGGCTCTGGTGAATTCTCTTACCCTCCCGCGCTTCTGATTGTACCCAGTGCTTGTATAAATAAATAAATAAAAATTAAAAAAAAAAGATTTATGCTGTATAGAGAGAGTAGGGGATGGTGGGCTGCTTCGGTAAGATGCTCCTGGCCCTTTGCCACAACAGAGAATAAAGCTGCATGAGCTATTCAGCAAGTAATGGCATTTTGTATTGGACAAGTCCTCTCGTGGAATTAGGGATAGGAGAATAATTATCTTAGAGTTTAGAAAGAGTGTAATAATACTGATTTTTGAACTCCAATATCTGAACCAAGCAATTTGATTCATGAATATAAACTGTAAACGCTTTTGAATTATAAATCCGACCACACATACCTTTTCTTGTTCCTTTTGTTTTGAAAATATATGTGTATAGTATAGTCATAGAGGTGTGATTATACCATCAGGGGCCCATGAAGGTTAAAGTAATTTTCTCTAAAATATTCCAATGTAAGAAGTGCCTTTGGGTCCTCAAAACTGTATTATTCAAATAAATAATTTAGTTAACTTTGAAAAATGTTCTGTTTTCCAGGGTTATATTCGACAGTGTCGTAAGCACACAGGAATGTTCACTGTTGCACAACTAACCACCATTTTTGGAAACATTGAAGATATTTACAAATTCCAAAGAAAGTTTCTGAAAGACCTTGAGAAGCAGTACAATAAAGAGGAACCTCATTTAAGTGAAATAGGATCCTGCTTTCTTCAACATGTATGTCATCCATTACTTCTTTATTAATAAGACCTGGTTAAATAATTTTGAAATGTGTCTTTCCTGAGAAGAGGAGTCATTTTTTGTTTTGTTTTCTTTCTTTCTTTGCTGCATTCAGTGGAGATACCACTTGTAAATTAAGTTGATTAGTTTATATGGTTAGCATTTACCAAAATACTCAAAGTCTGTTTTTTCATTATCTTCCCACTTTCGTGCAGTTTAGAGTTGAGGTTGTATTTGGAGTAATTTCAGATAATTTCTATTAATTGTCTAGTATATGTTAAGCACTGTTTGCAGGACTTTCTTTATTAGCTCCTAGACTGGTTATTTTCACATGTTTTACAGATCAGGCAACAAAGCCCCAAAGAGTGACTCAGTGGGTGATTTGGTGGTGGGTGCACCACAATGGTGACACTGGAGTGGGGAGAGGTCCTGTACGTCCAAAATACCAACAATTGTGTAAACCAGTGTTACCTCAATTTATAAAATTAGTAATTACTAAATAAAAAATAATTCCGATAGAGATGTGCAGCTCTGGGGCTCGTGTCCCCTGCGCCTTAGTACAATACAGTCTGTGATGATGGTGTGAACCTATCATCATGTAAACTGATGACCATCATCACCATTTAATATTAAAAGATGTCAGAAGATAAAGATTTTTTTTTTATTCTCAGCCAAAATGGTCAGGGAATAGCGACAGTAATAATAGTAATCACAGTCAGAGCCATACCACCTCCATAGTAGCGCCTGCTGTGCGTAGGTCCCAGTAACTTTATTCAGAGATGGAAAAGCAGGTTGGGTTGATTTTAAATAGCTGAGAATGAAGCTGTGGTATAAATAAACGTGGAAAGGTTGACCCTAGGAGCGCAGTGGGCCTGGTAGGCAGACCAGTTTGGCCAAAACAGGTTCACAAAGAGGAGTCAGAAACCTTGGAGGTCAGCTAAGCAGAGGGTATGGCATGATGGAGACAAAGCCTCAGCATGGAGCCTCTTGCTATGGAGAGCAGAGGAGGGCAGCGTAGGGACAGAGGTGCGTTGTGGCTGCTGCTAGGGAGGGAGGGGATGTGTTCCTGAGTGAGGGTCACGGCAGAGGACACGTAGACTGAGGAATTTATTAAAATGGGGTCTTTGAGGTCAGATGGTAAAGACTGGTCATAAGGAACAAAGAAAAACCAGTCAACCTACCTGTAGGGTTGTGAGTCTCAAGGAAAGGTCCATTATGAAAGTCTGTTTTCCTGGGAAATAGGAGTTTTCTCATAGGCGCATTTGACTTTGAGCTCAAAGCCAAGTATAAACTGTGGAGCAGGACGTGGCTGGCAGGAATGCAGCCCTGGGTAGGGTGCAGGGAGGAAAGGTTCGGGGTGAGGAGGAGAGGCCCTGGGGCTCAACCTTGAAAGGCTGTGTGCAGGCAGGCACAGGGGGAGGTGGGGGGGGGACTGGGAGAGGGCCGCTGCGAGTCCAAGGAAAGGCAGACCTCATGGGAGATCCTCAGGACAGCAGCAACCTGGCCGTGAGAGAAAGGCTTTCAGCTGGAGGTGGGAAGTGACTGGCCTGGGAGCTAGGTGGTAGGATGTGGAGGAGAAGTGCTGTGGTGAGGAGGAGGCGGCTCTCAACGGCCATCTCTTGGCCGTAGTTGAGAATTCTGTCAGAGAGAGTAGAGAGGGTAAGGACCTGACAGGTGGTCAGGTAAGCACTGTCCCTTTCTCTAAGAACAGAGCTGGGGCGAGGACAGTGCTCCTCCCTGGAGAAGCCCTCCCGAGCACGTGCAAGGTCATTGTGAATGGGACTAGCACGCTGAGTCCTAGAGCAATCTCTACCTCCACCCGCAACAGATGACCCCCAGAAAAACCCCCGCAGAGGCTGCAGCTGGCCCCTTCCTACAGAGGAGTTATGGGACTGTTCAGTCCAGGCACGAAAGTCATTGCTGCACACCTTGGCACCATGTGCCAACTCACTTCTGTCCAGAAACGGCCCCTCAGATTGGGCTGGGTGTAGTCTCCCTTGCCGTGGTTCAGGGCCACCCCACAGCCTGACAAGTCTATGCTTTCCCCTTTCCAGCAAGAGGGCTTTGCGATCTACTCCGAGTACTGTAACAACCACCCGGGCGCCTGCGCAGAGCTGGCCAACCTGATGAAGCAAGGCCGGTACCGACACTTCTTTGAAGCCTGCCGACTGCTCCAGCAGATGATTGACATTGCCATTGATGGTTTCCTGCTCACACCAGTGCAGAAGATTTGCAAATACCCCCTGCAACTGGCCGAGCTGCTCAAGTACACCACGCCGGAGCACAGGTGAGGGCGGCCAGCGGAGCGCAAGTATTGCCTCTGTGCTCGCTGAGGCTCCCGAGTTGGTGGCTCAGCAGTGGGGGCGGGCTAGGGTGAGGGGCCTGAACCCACCAGGGCTCTGTGGAAGAAGTTTTCATATTGTTTGATGATTTAAATCAGATCATTGAAGGGGCCCTAGAACAGCCATTTCTTCTAGAGACATTAAAAAATAATAATTCTTTAATTGTGTCATGAGCAGTTTTTAGAGTAGGCTGGTATGAGCATGGTTTCAGAAATATCTTCCTTGCTGTCTCAAGTTGTTTCACAGCAGCTCACCATGAAAGCAGTGTTTACTGCAACAAAAGCTACTTTACAGAAGGGGTGAGATGGTCCCCAAATGTGAGCCGTAGCAGAGTAGGATGTCCAGGGCCTGGAGGAGAGTGCAGGGGGCAGATTGGAAGGCACGTCTCACTGAAACGTGCCACTTGCAGCCCTTTCTTAACCAGCCTGGCAGCTCCCTCTGTCTCCATCATCCTTCACTCGCTTTGAGCAGGCCTCTGGTCATGGTTACCCACACTCTTAGAGGCTTGCTTTGGCCCTAAGCTCTTACAGGAGAGCCAAGAAATTATCCATCGCTTCCTTAATAGCAGCTCGTTGTTTCCTGCACATACAGAAGAAACCTTGCTGTGTGGTCGTATGTAAGAGAGACCACTGTAGTGCAGCCATCGCAGACCGGGCAGATTCACTGTCGATTTGGGCAGATGGGTAAAGGAATCTTGGAGCCCTCAGTAGACTTTGCCGGGAGGCAGCCAAGCAACTGAACCTTCCAGCTCCTCAGGAATCTCCACGCGCTAGCTCTCCTCTTTGTCGTACATCTCATCTCCTCACAGCGATGCCCGTTTATCCCTCGCTCCATGGTCCAGGTGCCTGTATTATTTTATGTGTGCGTGCCCCATGCTTGCTCCCAAGTGCCTTGTGCACCAAGACCATATCGTGTGGGCAGTGAAAACCTGGGAGGAAAGCATGAACACAGGTGACAGCCACAGAAGCTGGTGGTGGGAAGCAGAAAAAAGAGTCTGAACCACTCCACTGTCCCTACAACCACCCATTCAGTACTCATGTGGGAAATGTCACTGTAGCAGGACCCAGCTGTGGGCGCCTTTAGGTGGCCCATGACTGGTTCATTGCTTATGTTCTCACCAGCACATTTGGGATGCCAGTGGAGACAAAACTATTCATCAAGCAAGTTTTTAGCATAAAGCTTTCTGTTTTTTAGATGAGAATCTGTGACATGTGTGACACTGATGTAAAGCTTTTCACTATACCTGTAGCCCCAGAAGAAAGGACAGTCTTGAAGCGTTCTAGTGAAAGAGGGAGAGGAAAAAGATTGTGCGCAGAGGAGATTTGCTGTGGTAAATTAAGAACCACAACAGTCCTGGCTTTTTTTTTTTTTAAGATTTATTTTATTTATTTATACAAGCACTGGGTACAGTCAGAAGCACAGGAGGATGAGAGGATTCACCGGAGCCAGAGTGGGGAACAGAACAGGCAGAGTGACAAAATACTCTGCTGAAGGGAGCAGGGGGCGCGGTAGGAGAGGTCTGTGTGCCATGTGGGACCCTTGCCCAGCAGCTGGGGATTGCTCCACCGCTGCGGCACCAGGGGAGGCCCAACAGTTCTGGGTTTTAATAGCTAACAGTTGCCCTGAGATCAGTCAAATTATCCATGGCTGTGCCTGGCCCTGCAGGGTGGGGGGAACAGGTCATTCTTTTGTCCTTCTGCCACTGGACTCCTGTGGAGAGACAGGGTTTGAAAAGGGATCTTTTTAACAATTAAAAGAGAAAAAAATGGGCCTCCCTGGTGGCGCAGCAATGTGGGCTCAGCACTGAGAAGCTGCAGCCTCTGCAGTGTGGATTCAATTTCCCGCCGGCCAGGGAGATTCCCAAATGGTGAGGCAGATCTCTCCTGCCTCGTCCGCTGTTCCCCTCAGCAGTGTTTTCTGTTCATCTGCCTGTTCTGCTCCTACTCTGTCTCTGGTGAGTTCTCTCACCCTCCGGCGCTCTGGCCTGAACCCCAGTTCTTATATAAATATAATAAATCTTTAAAAAAAAATAGAAGATAGAGAAAAAGAGCAAGTTTGCTGAACCGTAATCCTTGGGTAGAGGTGTTAGTTTAAGGAATTATTATTAGAGGACCTCCCTGGTGGCGCAAGGGTGACGCAACCTCTGAAGCTGTCCACAGCCACTGCAGCATGAGTTCGAGCCCCTGCTAGGGAGCACATGGTGCAGCAGACCTCTCCTGTCTCGCCTGCTGCTTCCCTCAGCAGTGTATTTCAGTCATTCTGCCTGTTCTGTTCCACACTCTGTTTCTGGTGAGTCCACTTAGCCCCCACACCTCTGGCCTATACCCCAGTTCCTATATGCATAAATAAATAAATCTTTTTTAAAAAATTGTGATTAGAGAAATAAGAGAAAGGAGTTCATTGAAGTAGATAAGAGGAAAAGATTTTTTCTAATGGAAAAATCAGAAAATTGCAAAGTCAAGAAAGCCATAAAGTTGAAGAACTATTTAAAAAGAATAAAAAGGCATCATGATGAGGAAACAGAGAAAATAAATAAGATAATTAAGAAGCAAAGACATCTTGCAAAATATGAGCGGGCATGTGAGTCCATTCCAAGAAGGGGAAGCTATGCTGGAAGCCACGCAACCAATACCAGTTGAATTTTCTCTTTTAATGCCAATTCAAAAAAACACTCTTAAGGAAGTGACAAAAAGCCCATTTCCTTATCTTAAACAAACAAACAAAAAAAGAAGCACGCTGATTCTTTCTGGAACTGTACAGAAAGACTTGGCACAGCAGACCGCTTCTGTCTCTGGTGAATCCTCTCACCTCACCCCCCAAACCTCTGGCCTGCACCCCAGCTCTTATATGCATAAATAAATAAATCTTTTAAAAAAAAACTTGAGGGAAAAAATACAATAGTTTTGTACACTTATTTCATTGCTGGAGTAATGGGCATTGCTCCCACTATTTAGGCAACAGCCCTGTATCATAATTGTTCTTCCTGTCTGCTCTGCTTCTAAGTATGAATTGGTCTTTCTTAGAACAGAGTGTCCACCTTGTGGGGAAATGCCCAGGAGCTTCCCAGAAGCTGAGTGTCATTGTGTGTAGTAAACAGACAATAGAATCTGCTTGCTGATCTGCAAAAGGACTTGTTATTCAGTCCAACTGAGATCCAAAGGCTCTTTCCGGTAACACACAGTAAAGTGCTGTAATTGAAGAAATAAAGCTCCATGAGTGAATGATTGGTTTACATGTCCCCAAATTATTAATACTGAACAAAACTCCCAATGTCAAGCTTTCTGACACAGACGTGCTCTGTTCTAGCCTCTGTAGATCTGAACCATAGTTTCCATTTTCCAATACCTTCAGAGGTACTGGGAAGAGGGCTTGGGAAGAGGAGGCTACTGTCTATAGCATATAGGAAGCCCCAGAGATGAGGATGTGTTGTTGGGGTAATTGCATTAGCATTTATGTAACGCACCCATGTCAGGCTTATATGGCTTATGTCCTCTCATGTCCTTTCGTGAATAATGTAAAATGATACTCAGAGCATATAATTACTCCTGAAAATGGTTAGTGATTATTAAAATATAAAGCAAAACTAGCTTTGTGAGCATTAAAGATATGTTCTTCTTTATTAATGAAAATAATCCATTGTCACTATGACTAAAACTTATTTCTTGTGGCATTTGCTTTCATTCATTGTGATTTCTGGGAAATTAATGAAAACAGTCTTGTTCCAAAGAATTCTTTACTGCATTCAGTCAGCTCCCTTATCCTCCCAGACTATAGCCTATTCATGGAGGAACAAGAAATTGGAAACAATGGCTGTTTTTAAATGCCACTTTGTCTAGACTGTTAAGATACAAATCAGGATGGAGTGTACTCTTTTGTTACACTCCATCTTCAAGTTGCAATTATATGGTTAAAATTAACTTCATACTTTGCAGTGATTACAACAATATAAAAGCAGCATACGAAGCCATGAAGAATGTAGCTTGTTTGATCAACGAGCGCAAACGCAAGCTGGAAAGCATAGACAAGATAGCAAGGTGGCAGGTGTCCATTGTAGGCTGGGAGGTAAGTGGGAACCCCCCCCATTCCACCATCTATGTGTTCCAGTGCCTCTTGTGCCCAGCCCCACCTCTGGTCTAGTTGGATGATATACTTCAATGTCTACGGTTGATACTTTATTTTCTTAGCTTTAATGGTGTATATATTTTGAGACATATTGTTGGATTTAACCTTACTCCACCTGCACCCAAAAATAAACTGTTATTTATTACCTAGACTCTATCTCTATTGCTAGAAAGTAAGCTCCATAACAGCAACTAGAAAACAATGAAAATACAGGTCATAATATTGTAGAAGCATATCACTGCCTACATTTAAATCTGTATGACTTAGGCAAGATTGTTTTTATTTTTATTTTTATCTCTGTCTTGGAAAGAAACTGTTATCTCTCTTACCTCTTAGAGCTGTTATATTAAATAAGACAATTCAAATTCGGTGCTTGATATGGCTTATAATGGTAGTTTAGAACGTGCGAGTGCATGTGTGTGCACACACACTTAAATACTTATAAAAACAATAATAATGACAAGCAGTGTCTGTATTGTGTTTACCACGTGCCTCATACTGGCTTAAGGCATTTACATTTATAAACTCACTTAAACCGTTCAGTGCTCCTATGAGGTAGGAACTATAAGTAGCTATTTTTAACAGAGGGGGAACCTAGAGCACAAAAGGTCACATAACTTGTCCTAGGTCACATAGCTCAGCAGTGGCCAAACCACATTCAATCTAAGCAGCCAGCCTAGCTTCAGATTACATGCAGGTAACCTGTACACTCCATGACTGTTACTAAGAAAAATTAGCTGCTCAGATTGCTTTTATAATTTTTTTTATTTTTTTTAATTTTTAAACAATTTCTTTTTTTTAAAAGAGGCACGTATTTTATTTATTTGTTTGTTTGTTTATACATGCACTGGGTACAGTCAGAAGCGCGGGAGGGTGAGAGAATTCACCAGAGCCAGAGCGGGGAGCAGAGCAGGCAGAAGGACCGAAGTACACTGCTGAGGGGAGCAGCGGGCGGCAGGAGAGGTCTGCGCGCCATGTGGGACCCTCCTCCGGTGGCCGGGGAGCAGCCAGGGATTGAACCGGCGCCGCAGAGGCCGCGGGGAGCTTTGCAACCCAGCGCTCAACCGCTGCGCCACCGGGGAGGCCCTCAGATTGCTTTTAAACCAAGCAACATTCGGGACCTCCCCGGTGGCGCAGCAGTTGAGCGCTGGGTTGCGAAGCTGCCCACAGCCTCTGGAGAGCTGGTTCGATCCTTGGCTGCTCCCCGGCCACCGGAGGAGGGTCCCACATGGTGCACAGACCTCTCCTGCCGCCCGCTGCTCCCCTCAGCAGTGTATTTCATCAGTCTGCCTGTGCTGTTCCCCACTCTGGCTCTGGTGAATTCTCTCACCCTCCCGCACTTCTGACTGTACCCAGTGCTTGTATAAATAAATAAATCTTTAAAAATAAATAAATAAATAAATAAACCAAGCAACATTCATACAACATCACATTACTTGGTCAAAACTCACTCTCCCCAAGGATTAAAAAAGTTTGGGTAGGGAAGTTATATTTTTAACTAAAGTAGGTTATAGTGGTGAAAGTTGGAAAATATTTGTTTCAAACTCTTATAGACTTTAGAAGCCTGGATGAGAGTCCTCAGAGATGAGAGTTTCTTATTTTGTAAGTGAAGTATCTAGGGCATAGAATTGCTCTTGGCAAATAAATAGAATTATTTTCCAGTTAGGATCTTTTGCCTCCAACAATTGTTGTATGTGTCTAGGCTCAACAGAGAATAAAATCTTATACATTAAAGGCCAGTGTCATACCAGATACCATAAAGTCACATTGGTCAGACTACATCTACATATTATGAAAGTATATTTTCCTTCTTCTTTTGGGCTCTGACATTTAGGGAATAGTTTATTGTTAGAAGTTCACCTGTTCTTGCTGTATATTTGCCATCTGGCCTTTTGTTGCCAAGACCCTCATAGAGTATTACTCCAAGTAACTGCTACATAATTAAGTCAAAAGCAAAGCATCCATAATGCTCTATTCCTCTTCATAGAATGCCCCTTCCCTGTTTCCTCATTTTCTGTTGCTCAGTCTTGGCCAGCTGCCATTTCCGCTCTCAACAGGATTCTATTAATCCAGCATGCTTTTCACCAGACATCTCTGATAAGGAAGACACTTTAAATAAAATAGAGGGACTATAATATTTTTCCCATTGAGTAGGAAAAAAGGAATTCCATACACAAGGAGACTAATAAACAAGTTTTAATGGGCTTGAGGTCCTGCCTATCTGTAAATGGGCCTCATGTAATTGGAAAACCCAAAACCATTCTGGACCCCTTCCGCATTCCTGATTCTAAAGGAATCAGAATGGAGCCATCTGAAAATGTGTTTTTGTCCTTCTAGGGGATGGATATTTTAGATCGAAGTTCAGAATTGATCCATTCTGGGGAACTGACCAAAATCACTAAGCAGGGCAAGAGCCAGCAGCGGACCTTCTTCCTGTTCGACCACCAGCTTGTGTCCTGCAAGAAGGACTTGTTGCGTCGGGACATGCTCTATTACAGGGGTCGCACAGACATGGACCAGATGGAGCTTGTGGACCTGGAGGATGGACGTGACAAGGACTGGAACCTCAATGTGAAGAATGCATTCAAACTTATCAGCAAGACCACCGATGAGGTTCATCTGTTTTGTGCCAAAAAGCAGGAAGACAAGGCGCGGTGGCTGCAAGCCTGTGGGGATGAGAGGAGGAGGGTGCAGGAGGACCAGGAAATGGGTGAGCAGCCCTGGGTGCTGCAGAGTCACTTCCCTCTGCCTCCCAGCTCAATCTCCGGCCTTGCAGGCCAACTCTTCCACAAGCCCATTCCCCAAAGAGTTAAATGTCTCCTTTGGGAAAAGAAAAAGGATTTGCACGGGAAAATGCTTCTAAACTTGATTACAGGGCAGAATATGACAGATGCAGTTATCCAAGGCAATAATTTTCATTTCGTGCTTTCACTTCCTGCCAGAGTCCCTGTTGCACATATATAGAATTTGTCATATTTCGTCCCTGGATGTGGATACTGTGGTTATGTCCAATTTATACACAAGGAAATTGATGCATCGGGCGCTTCCCTATTCTTACAACAGGCCAAGCAGCATTGAAAACTAGCTCAATGTGGGTCCAGCACTGAACCATAGTCAGGTGACCCTTATCTATGCCATGAGAAATTTCACATGATCTGTGGGCTTCCTCTTCAACTGTGCCTTTATTTTTTATTTTATTTTTATTTCTGGTTTGTTTGGTTTTTTTCAGCTGTGGTATGAAATCACTTTACATTGACCTTGCTGCCACAGTTGATTCAGACCCAGTGGCTCCCCATGCACATTTCCCTGTGTCTCTCTTCCATGAAGCTAAGGCCCATGTACTCTTTCCTTCAGCTGAGGTAGTACATCTTCATATTCAGTGTTGACCTTCTGTTCACCTCCCTGAAAGACTGATGCTGCCCAGCCTGGTACCTGGGATGACAGCACCGCCCAAGGTCCAATGTTTCCCAGACATGTTAGGGTTTTTGAGCACAAACTGTTGAATAGAGGTCAGGATGCCACAGGGACTGCGGGCCCCCTATAGATGAGGTGGAATGAGAGGTACTCATCTGAGCAACCCACGAGTGCCAGGCCTTGAAGGTTTTCTGGTGTAAGCTGGAGGAGAAGCCCTTCCCATTCCCCAACCACTCCTTTGGGGGAAACTGGAATGGAAGCAGAGGGTACTTTATCAATTAATGTGACCATTACCAGCCCCAGCCTTGGCTACAGATTTTGCTCTTGATCCCAAGGAGATCTCTTGGGATCATATATTTCAATAGGAGGGATTTATCAATCAGTCAAGGTAACTTGCCACCAGAAGCGGGATCTCCTCAGAAATATTCCACAGGTGGACACTGGCCCATACCTCACCAGTAATCACACCACTCATAGGTGATCCCTTATGCCAGGCAGAAGTGTCTTTTATACAAAGAAGAAAACTGATTTCCAACAACTTCCATATGTCTGTGCTACTTGTGCTCTCAGGCCCCTTTAGAATAAGACTCATCTCTATCATACCAAGAATTCTTCAGATATTTGCAGATGACATTTATTAAAAGTGTAAAATCACAGGACTATAAAATCCTGATTTTACCTACTGCCTAATACTGTCTTAAGGCAGGTCCTGAAATCATTTGTAAGTCAGAATGTTCCTGTTTCCCCTCAGATATAACTGAGTATTACAAGGGACATTCTAAACACTTCTTAATTCTGCTCCTCGTTAACAACAGAAAGGAGGGACCTGCTTTTATACTTTGCAGTACAATGCTCCCTAGAGCTAGTTCTCAGGTGTGCATGAATGAATGGTGCATTCCTGAATCCATTAAGTATGAACTGAGTAAGATGGAATAAAATAGGACCGACCCAGACCTGGCGTGTCAGTCTAGTGTTAAATACATCATGTTTAGGAGATTCTGAATGTGAGGGTGGGGACAAGTCAAAAGGCTGATGTGGGTTTAGGCGCAATAGAATCCAAGGGGCCAGAATATGGAGCCCAAAGAATTCTCCATGACCCATTAGGGACAGATACCAAGGATGTTGAGAAGCCAAGGCCAGATATAGAGTGTGCAAAGGTAGATAGTGAAACCTTGCAAGTGACCCCCGCAGTAAGCAGAGGAGGGAGAGCCCAGATCTCCTTCCATGCTGTGGAGAACCTACACCATGGTGTGGCTCCAACATGACTGCCTTAGCTCTCCTCCTGCCCAGGCTGCAAGACCAGGGCTTGTCTTCTGATCTCTAGCTACTTGTTTAACCCACTCACCCAGTACATTCAGATAGTATCACTGTGCTACAGAATTTTACAGTCTGTGGGCTGTAGTGCACAACACATAGTTGGCGAGTTGGCATATAGAATCCAGTTACTGTTACTCAGATATTAGCACAGTAGAATCAAAATTTAGCTTTCACAGCAGGCAAGTGAATATCCCCTCTGATACTTTTGATTTGTCCTCTTCTCCCAGGACATCCTTCTTTAGTGTTGTAATTAGTAACACTATAGGAACATTTACCTAGGGACGTCTGGATTTACATCAGGCAATGTCTGCGTGTCATTCTTATAGCGCCCCATTTCTCTCTTTAAAATGGCCGCATACGAGGGGCCACATATGAGGGGTCTAATGTGCACACAGATTTTCCACGATAACACATCATACAAATAGTCTAGTCTAACAGGAATGAAATAGTAAGGATTTGTATTCTAAAATTATGTTCTTAGAAACTTTATTTAGATTGACTTTCTATTCTAAGAGGGAGTTGCTTGATGACCTTCTTAGCCTTCTTGTTATTTCTCCTTTCCCCACTTTTCAACCTCTTTTAATTCCTTGAGGATTAAGGGCCTTGTTTCAGAATGCCTCGGTGTTAATCTGGGCTGTGGTACAAATTTTATTCTAAAATGTTTTTACTTGTTTTGAATATATATCACTTGTTTTTCTAAATCCAGGAATGGAAATTTCAGAAAATCAGAAGAAACTGGCCATGTTGAATGCTCAAAAGGCAGGACATGGAAAGTCAAAAGGTAAGTTTTGGAGAAAGTTTTGTCTTAATGTGTGTCGGTACTGAAGTTAAAAGCAGGGGAAATACCCAAAGTTGTATGATCAACAAAGGAGAGAAGTTTGGGTAAAACTCAGAATGGTGGATCTAATGCAATGGATGGTTGAAAGTAATCAGCATTTGCTTTAGAATGGGCTTCTGGATTTGCGTATTTCTTCATGTGAGCTTATAAAATGAGTTTTGAATTTCATAAGCATTTCCAGGCCTCCTTGTCCCTGCCCACAACCTCTCTCTGCATCACCCTTCTGAGAAAATAATGATATTATTCATCAGGCCCACCTGCTCACCAATCTGAGGCAAACCAGTATCTCTTGCATCTTTTTGGCATGGGGGGAGGAAATTTCCATCCCCGAACTGCTTGCCAGCTGTAAGTAAGCTTCATTCTAGTTTCACTCACACAAAAATAGATCTAAAAGTTTTCTACATCAATCAATGAGTTAAACAAAAAGGCACAGACACATTAGCTTATTTAGAGCAGGGATTTTCTACCTTCCCAGTATATTAAAATTAACTGGGCTACTGTTTAAAAATAATGCCTAGGCCACATACCAAGGGGTCTAATGTGCACACAGATTTTTCACAATATAGATCATACAAGTAGTCTGGCCCAACAGGAATGAAATAGTAAGGATTTGTATTCTAAAAATATGTTCTTAGAAAGTTTATTCAGATTGACTTTCTATTCCAAGAGGGAGTTGCTTGATGAAATTTATCCCATTCAGTATTTTTCTAATTAAAAATACAAAAATAAGAATCATTCAAGCCCAGGACTATGAACTGCCATCAACCACTGGGTAGCCAAGAAAGTTTCATTACCAAAACCCCTGCTCCCCCCACATAGATGCAGAATTTACCCCAAACTGTAAATATCTTTAAGTCAGAAAAACCCAATTTATCTATTTTTTACCTCTCTACTGTTTTTTTTTTTTTTTAAGATTTATATATGCATACAAGAACTGGGGTACAGGCCAGAGGTGTGGGGGGGTGAGAAGATTTACCGGAGACACAGTGGGAAGCAGAACAGGCAATTGACTGAAATACACTGATGAGGGGAGCAGTGGGCGAGTCAGGAGAGGCCTGCTGCACCATATGGGTAACTCCTCCCTGGCAGGCTGGTGATCGAACTCGTGCTGCAGTGGCTGAGGACAGCTTCATAGGTTGCATGTTAACCCCCTGCACCACCAAGGAGGCCCCTCTCTACTTTTAATGGCAGTGAGTAGTAAATATCAGTTTGTCAGGTTTATTAGTTTCTGACCATATCATCCAAGAGTGACTGGATAAGTATCAAGGTACCTGAAGAATAAGAATATAGTGAAAACTGGGGTTTATGGGCCATCGTTGTGTTTGGTGTGTCCCATGGGTTATGTTATGTCACCCTCCCTGGAGGGTCAGGAGAATTTTATGGCAGATGAAGGTGGATGCTAAATCAAGTCCTGGCTCCTTCTCATCTCACACTCTCTCATCATATCCTGCTGACTCACAATCAGCTGTGATCTTGCCACTCATTTTAATAAGCCTTTTTCATCGACTCTGCACAAATATAAATGTTTACGCTGATAAAAATTTTGATTGAAGCAATTAGGTTGAGGAGCACTGTTCTAGGTCATTACTTACAGTCACTCATTTAATTCATTCAGGAGCCCTGTAGATACTGTCACCCCATTTTAGAGATCAGGTTGCTGAGATCCAGAGAAATCAAATCATTTCCCAAGTAATTACAGCCAGTAAGCACAGAGTGGGATGTGGACCAAGGTGTATGAGCTTCAGACTTTCATTGAAAGAGTTTTATTATTTCTCATCCCAAGTTCTAGCTAATTCTACCACTGACTGCTGTGTGACCATAGGTGATATACATAACTTCTCTGATTTTGCTTTCCTTTCCATCACACTCCTGCAATGGTGGCTTCCCTGGAAGGTTCAATGAGGTAGTTTGTCACTGTGAGACAATATGTCATACTGTTCCATAGGCAGTATCTGAACATGTGTTGCTTGTGACAGCTAGTATTGGGATTGAGAATGAGCTAAGAACTGCACATCTTAGTACTTCTTTTGTCCTTTTTGATTAACAAATGACCCTCAGTTCGTGTTTCATCTCTCCCCCCTCTCATGTCAGGCTACAGTGGATTCCCTGTGGCCCCGCTGCACCAGAGCTTGCACCCACTTCACCAGCGCCATGTCACCGTGCCCACCAGCGTCCCTCAGCAGCAAGTGTTTGCCCTGGCAGAACCCAAGAGGAAGCCTTCGTTGTTCTGGCACACCTTCAATAAGCTCACCCCTTTCAAGAAATGAAATGGGATCTGGCATTTCTTTTGAGGCGGAGAACCATTTTTGTTTCTTCATGGCTAAAAGTGAGGAAGCTACATTGGACCCAGTGCTAAAAACTTCTTTCTGGGGTCAATGCCAGTCTTCAGAGACCCAGTGCCGCCTTGGTTGGAGAAGGTCATCATTTATGTCTCTAATGTGTCCAAGAATCCTCTGTCACCTGGGCCAAGATGGCTAGACCTAGGAACCAGTGCTGTCTTCTGAAGTGAATGCTGAGCGTTGACCCCAGTGCCCATGACTGGTGCTAAGCACGCTCTCTGCTGCAGCACAAACCAAGCACCTCAAGATTTTCAGTTCCCAAGGAAGGGCTAGAGCAGAGTGTCACTTTTGCATCTGATTTTGATGGGACTGGTGCACCAGCGTTGGTACAATGTTGCCTCAGGATAGCATGCAAGCTGTCCCTTCTTCTGATGCCATAACAGTTGTCAAATGGTCGTGCGGACTTCGCCCTGCAAGCTTCCTCCCTCTACAGGCTAGAGGAGAAAGCAGGATGAATTCATCATGTGGCAGCTGGTCTGTAATGCAGAGTGACTTAAGCATTCAAAGATAGGACTGTTTTCAAGTGAGGGAGTGAAAAATCCTGCTGCCATTTGGATTTGCCTTCTGAAGTAAGGAACTGGCCTGCCGGTGTGCAGCACCTAACTCTACAAGCAGAAATCACATCCACTTGCACATCGTAACCTAAGAAGTTGGATCCATATGTATCCTTTTGCAGTGTAACAAGCCATTTGCTTTAATTTTATGATAAAGTGGATATGAGCATGCACCCACTGAAAGTCATTCTTCAGGAGATCCTTGTGCTTCTTCCAACGATGGGTTCTGATGTCTCACCAATTAAGCAGCACATGCATTTGATCAAGCATGAGGCTCAAAGCAATCCAACTTCCCCAGGATTTGAGGCCAACTTATTGCATAAACCTAAAACAGTAGTGCTAACTGTGCCATTATTAGCATGTCAGCAGGTTTCTGGAGACTCATTTGTTACAAAAGAGACCTTAATAAAAAATATGTTTAGACTCAGAGATAGCAGTCCTTTTAAACGAAGACCATGTGGGCTAATACCTGTAGATAGTAATCTCCTTATCTTTGTCTACATTGTAAATTTTTGGTGAAAATAACTTTTAAATATGTCTAGAGAAGACAGGCTTTGCAAGAGAGATAGCATTTCAATTTACACAGTGCACTGGAAGGAGTTATTGTATTACACAACATGTGGTTTTCTATTTAAAGCTCTCTTTTTCGTACTCTCCAAGTTCTTTTTTCTAATAAGCCAATGCTGAGAATAAACAAACCTGTAATGTCAAAGACCAAGGTATAATGTGAGTCTCTGGTGTGTGGGTCCGCCATTCCCCTCCATCTCCCGCCCCATTCCCAGAACTGTTCCTGGAGGTGACGACATGCATCAAGGAGACATAATTGGACTTGAAAGCGTCGTATAAAAAATTTGTTGGGAAATCTTATCTGTTGGTCATCCTGCTCTTCTGCCTTGCTTTGCTCACTTATAGACAATATTGCTGGCAAGTTGTGCAGCCCTGTGGCTGAAAACCAGGGCTTGCCTGTGGACCTTCATACCAAGTGTCCTGGGATGGTGGTTGCTTCTGTGAGGAAGCATCTCAGGAGGTGCTATAGCTTTGTGTGTATAGTCGCGCGCGTGTGTGTATGTGTGTGTGCGTGTGCCTGTGCGTGTGTTTGAATAGACATCTCAAGTGCAGTTGCATTTATATAACCGACGTTTTTACTAACAAAATATGATATATATTTGAAAACTAAATATGCTTTACGTGGACCCCCTCAGCAATAACTGTAGAGTCTCTGCGCTAAAGAGTTATTTGTATATACAGCAATTTTGAGCACGTCTTTGGGTTTTTTTATTTTGTAAATATAAGAGAATTACTGTGAGGAAGTAAAGAGAATCATTTGCTTGGATGAATTCAGTTCAAGTAAAGGATCACTCAAAGACTTCCATTTTCTAATATTTACTAATGAGCATGAATAAATGCCTGAAGTTCTGTGATCAGTCCCGATTTTCCCAACAGAGCTCTAACTTCTAGTCCCCGCCTCTCCCTCCCTCCATGGACTTCCAGCAGAATTGCAAGAAGCTCAGATACCAGGGCATGCCTAAGTGCCAGGGTGTCCTGGTCAATGTGAGAGCCACTTCATCAGATATCTGCCGTGGGTGGATCCTGGCCGGATGCTCAGGTGATTTTGAAAGCTGTTAAAATAGTTTGAGGAGAGGATGTTATTCCACCTCTTTATATTCCTTACTTGAGTTTTATTACCCAATGCCTGAGTTCTGTAAAGAATAGGTGACTCAGTATCCTAATTTTAGGGTTACCAAACTTCCATCTTGATGAAAATCACATTTTCCACTGGCAAAGAAAAAAAGGAGAGAAAAAAGAGCTTCCTATATGGAATATGAATGAATAGTTTCATTGAGAATCTCACTTTCTCTTTCTTTTGAACCCTACATTGCATAATTTGGCCCCCCAAAAATGACATAACATATGTATGAATTTCACTTACTCTATCATTCTTGCTTTAGAATTTGCCACCTTTGCTCATTCAACTCTGTTCACTGTTCAGCTCTGTTCAACAGAAAGAATTAGAAATGTTCTGGTGTCAAAGCAACCTTGTCAATTTTGATCATACCTAAAACTTATAACCTTGTGGTAGGTTATAAGTATTTGAGAATATTTGTAAATCTTGGAAAAAATATCCTTCTTTGTCTTTGGCCTCCAAACTAGAAAAAGAGTGGCTGCATTTTGCCATTACTTGTCCTGGGCTACCATCAGCATAGTGTGTTTTTAGCAGATCTGATCTTTATCCTAGTAGATCTGATCTTGTAATTGAAAACATTTCCCACCCAAGCTCCATGCTATTTCTGAATATTTTTGTCCCTTTTTAACTAAACCAGACAAGGACTAACTCCATGCCTATTCAAAGTCTCTCAATTCTAAGTTGCTATTATCTAAACACAAAGCCAAAGTTTGTTCAATTCAAAATTTGGTTCACAGTAGAAATCTTTTGTGAAAGTCATGATCTGCATATCATACTGAAAAATTCTACAAACCCAAATTGCTGATATGCCATAACACAAATCAACATAGAAACAGATGCATCCCTCATAGGACAGTGCCAACACATGTGAATAAATATCTCAGTGGCTCACAGGCCACAGATGCTGGACACAAATCAATTAGGTCAAACTGCTCAAAAACACTGGTCCCTAAAATAGGCTTAGCTGACAAGTTGCTCTCCTTGCTAAAATTTCACTTGGCTAAATGCTATTGTCCTCAAGATGAATGTAGTGAAAGTGAAGTTCCAAAGATTTTGAAAAATAACAAGTAGAAATCATCTGACCTTGGGGGAGGGAAAAAAAAGCTGAAGTGCTTGTGTAAATCCTGGAGAAATACCCTTCTTTGTCTTTGGCCTCCAAACCAGAAATATATCCTTAGCTCAAAACACATTATTATCTGTCGTTATTTTGCCAGCATCGACAATTGTATTTAGCAAATACTTTGATTTTTTAATAATTGGTTTTGTCGAGGTGTTAACATCAATTATGTTTAACTTCCTACTTTGCAAGGCTTTTGGTAACCTTTTCCTTAAATGCATCAACATCAAGACGATGTTACCTGCTTTAAGTCAAGTGACAGCTTCCAAACTGATGAATTAGCTGCTCACAGCCAATGTTGTGCAAGATTGCTGTAACTTGATATGTATTTTGTTGAATGAAGTTTTTGTAAAAAAAATTATTGCAATGTTATTTGAAAATTTTCTTGTAAATGCTGTGAATTTATATTTGTTGTTTTGTATCTGTATATTAAAATTAATTTGCCAAACTGGTTCTACTAATGCATCTGAGTAGTAAAATAAGATTCTTTTTTTCTTTAATGGAGCATGATCTGGAATTACAGTTTCTGGAATTACAATTCATTTCCTGCCTACTGGTTGATAAACTTCTTTTCCATGACATTTGTTCCATTAGTGGATAAAACCACTGAATAGGTGTGGGGAAAAGTAGGCTTGGGGTTAACAGAGGGGCCGCTTGACTTGAAATCGGTCACTAGACTAAACAAACATTAAAGTAAGACTGATAAAACAAAAACTCTTTAAAATTTGAAGTCCTATTTTGTAGGAGAGCTTTTATTACTGATGATGGAAGGCAGATGAAGAGACCATACCTTTAGACACCTTCACTTCTTAAGGCCACTGGCCTGTTGCCAGGGAGGGAGACCCTGCTAGTGGTCTGGGGTAGCTTTTGGGGGCAGGGTTGATGTGAATTTCCTTTTCTAATTAACAACTTAGAAAAGCTAAGTAAATAGCCCATTGTTTGTTGTGACTATAATCAGAAAAGGTTCCTTTATAGGCTGCCAAGCAACTAATTTCCACTCCTAACATCCACCTACTTCCCAAACTGACACTTCACCCCCGCTCTCAACCCAATGCTGGGGCTGGACAGAAAAAGGGTTTAGCTTAGGGGTGGGAAGAGTATTAAATCAAAGGGTGACTTCCTCAGACCCATAAGGGAGTAGAAATCAAGGGCAATGAATGGCAAGTTGCAGAAGAATTATGGAGGGATGACATGATGGTAGTCACCTACCCCTGCACTGGACTCAGCTGAAATGTGTGAATCCTGTGGAGGAGCATCTGGTCAAAGAGGGCAAACACCTAATGTTATAATTAAATTTCAGTGTGAGCTATGCAACAATGGAGTGTGTACAAGTACTAATCAGACTAACGGGAATGGAGTCTCTTCCTCTGGCATAGGGGCAGGAAGGCCCAGTTTCTCGGGTAAACCAGTACAGCCAGGTTGGGTGTGTTGCTGGGATGAAAATACGGCATGAGTTGTGTGAGACACCAAAATGGGAAGCAGAAGCTGGATCTCAGTGGACCTGTGAACCAGGATCAGGTGCCAGGGTTTCACATTTATTAAGAAAGTTTAAGGTAAGGAATGCGGCAGCCAAATTTTCCTTGGCGCTCATTCCAGGGACAAAAATAAAGGGTGGATTTAAAACGAGAAGCAGGGCCTCCCTGGTGGCACAGTGAGTTGAGCGCAGCACTGTGAAGCTGTCTGTAGCCTCTAACAAGGGTTCAATTCCCCAGGGAGATTCCCACCTGGCACAGCAGACCTCTCCTGCCTGGCCTGCCACTAGCCTCCCACGCCTCTGGCCTGTACCCCAGCTTTTGTATAAAAAATAAATTAAATAAATCTTAAAATAAAAAAGAGAAACAGGCAAACTGTCCAATGAAGAGATAGCGGGAAAGGAAGGGAGTCTTAATGAGAAGGATGCTCAGCCATGACTGCAGGTCTGTTTGTCAACCAGATGTTGGGGGGAGGTTTCCAAGTTTTGCGAGTTGGTAGGATACGAGTACCATCACCCAGTACAGAAAATTATTACTGGGAGGGCAGGACTTTCATGTTTAGATTGGCGATCTGGTCTGTCCGGAGGGTAGTGAAATCGAGTCTAAAACTCAGGGTAGAGGCCAGGACTTGAAACAGACGGAAGAAGGTCAACTTGTGGCACAATTTAAACCATGAAACGGGCCAGTGTGCAGGCAGCTGCAGGAGAATGTTGTTCGGAGAACACCTCCAAAGAATAAACAGAATGAGAATGAGAAGGGGGAAGAAGCCTGGGATTTAGAAGAAAGCGGTGAAGATGAAATGGGTGGAAAGAGCGAAACCAGAAGAAAAAGATAACTAACTGTGCAAATGCTGAGAAAAGAATTTCTGGGTAGGTGTAGGGCTCAAGAGGTAAGGTCAGGGTAGTGAATGGGCAAGAGAAACCAGCTTAATGTATGTGATCTAATTAAATATGTGATGCTGGTATGAGTTTGCTATATACAACTGAGGAACCAGGCATTGAGAAAGCAAAGGACTGTTACATCTGTGGAACTTAACCCTTCACTCATGTACCCCATTCTCCCGGTGACCTCTCTCTTGATTCTTGGAAATAGTGTTAGGTATGTTTGTCCTCTTGATGTTATTCTTTTCTTTAAAAAAAAAAAATTATTTATTTATTTATACAAGAACCGGGGTACAGGCCAGATGCACTGGAGGGTGAGAGGATTCACCAGAGACAGAGCGGGGAACAGAACAGGCAGATTGACCAAAAATACACAGCTAAGGGGACCAGTGGGCACGACAGAAGAGGTCTGCCGTGCCATGTGGGGCCCTTGCCAGCCTGCCGGGATCGAACCGGCGCTACAGAGGCTGTGGGCAGCTTCACAGCGCTGTGCTCAACAACTTGTGCTACCAGGGGAGGCCCTTGAAGTTATTCTTAATTCGAGATCAATGTTAATAGACACAGGGAAAATGTATGAGTCTGTAATCATATGGCATTTAGAAAAGAATTTCATGGTGTTTTAGTTGGGGTGTGTGTGTGTGTGTGTGTGTGTATAAATGGGAATTAGATCCTTATGCGCACAAGTGCATAAAATGAACTTCACGGAAATTTGAATGATCTATTGAATAGTTAAGTGATTGCAGTTTTAATGGTCTGGAATGTGAATTAGCTCTGGCTCTATTAAGCTTCAGTTTTTTCCTGTTGCCCCATAACTGACCCAAGGTCACCTGGGAGAGGCAGATCATTTTAAAGAAAGTAAATCTGCAATGGGGATTCCTTCCTCCTAACTCCACTTGAATGTGTGCCTCACTACCTAACTCACAGGTAGTTAAGTTCTCTAAACAAAGTGGAGGTGGGAAAAGATGCTACCTGACTCAAGTGTTGCTGCCATTTTTGAATGTCTTCCAAGACATCTTGTGCCTTACTCTGTTCCCTCCCCTTCCTGCTGTTTTGCAGATACATCCACTAGGGAATTGTAGGGCAGGAAGCAGCGATTTTATTTAGTTTGCCCTTGATTTCTAGTTTGCACAACACCTGGTTGCAGCCCGCAGCCCTGGAGGTCAGGTAAGTGCATTAGGAAATGATTTCTTTAAATTCAATGTGAGGATTAAAACCCGAAAACAGCTCTTATATTACCAATGTGTGATAACCCTGCTTAATTATTTGCAAAGAAGGCAAGTTTTGGTAGGAAAGAAGTAAGCTGATTCCAAAATCCATCCTTGAGGAAGACACTAAAACGGGAGATAAAGCAGATTTTGTCAGAACTCTGAAGCTAGCTGGGTGGAAGAGTGAAATCATAGCATAAGTCAGAAGAATAGCGGACTTTTCTAGGGAGATTTCTGCAGAAACTTGTGCATTATTTGGCACAATTTTTATGTGTACATTTTTATATTTGTGGCTAGATTGATTTACACAATATAGCCCCTCAACATATGTTGAAGAAGAAATTCACAAAGTATTCTATGTGCAGAGTCTGTGAGCAACTTAGAGAATTTTAGATTCTTAATCAAAATTTGGGAGGAGTCTTGGGGTGTATATCCTTGCATTTTATGGACAAGGTAGTGTGGCTCAGAGGGTTGGAGAACCAATAAAGATTGCTCAGCTGGGTTCTGGCAAGTTTATACTTAATGTTTGAGAAGTAAGAATCTTGATGAGAAGAAACCCTTAACTTTGGCTATGATTTAGGAACAATATGTCCTCAGAAAAAATGATCAGGAGAGGCATTGAGTCACCTTTTATCAAGAAATTCAGTAGTGAAGGAGAAATATATGTCAGTAACAGGAGAAATGTGAAGACTACATATATGTAATTTTTTGAAAAGGAAAAACTCCCATAAACCCACCATTCTAAAGTATCTGTGTTCACTTGGATACCTGCTTCTAATTTTTGTCAATATGCATATATATAATTAGAATACTGTCAGTAAGGTCCATTCAAGGATACATTTATAAAATACAGGGCATGTTAGTTTACTTTATAAAAATTCAGTACAACATAAATCTTTTACATATTTCTCCATGAACTTCATAATTATTTCAGTGGTTTCATAACATTCTACTAACTACTTATTTTTGCTATTATAAACAACTCTACAGTTATAATAGCTTTGGCACAAAAATTTTGGATTATTAAGAATATTAAGGATAAGATTATTGGGTCAAAGATAACGGACTTATTTTAACTTTCCAAAAGTTCATGCAGTTTGATGTCACCCAGATGTGAAATCTGAGTTCTGACCTGATGACACTTTTTTTTTAAGTCCTAAGGTATCGACCATGATACATTCACTAGTCAACACACCTACTTTTAACCTACTGTTCCAGGTTTAATACTGAGTACTGGAAATACAATGAGGAAAGCATAGTCAGACGGGGAGCCAGATTTTTTTAGTCATAAGCACATGTATCCCTCCTCCTATGACAAGTACCAGAAAGAATGATGACATGGTGCCGTGTGCCCCATCTTGGGGAGTTTTGAACTACTCAGGAAGGTTCTAGAATCCCAAGTATTCACATTCCTTCAAGATCTTGCCTGTGTAACCATCTTTGTTTAAAATACTTTGCCTAATTAACAACTCCTCTCCCTCAAATTCAGCCCTTCCTCACCACCCAGCATTGTCTTAGTTCCTGATGACACTGGAAAGCAAATCAGTAAGTTGAAGGGGGGATACTCCAAACTATCTCTCAAACTGTGTACTCTTTGGTATGTGGCTGAGTGCCCTTCCTCAGTGTCCTCTCCTAAAAACAAAAGTGTAATTACAAAGCATACATCTAGTCAAAGAATACATCTAGCCATAGTAGGGACTTTTGAAACATTTCACTTTTTAATTTTTATAATACATATAAAATTATCATTTTAGCCACTTTTAAGTAAACAGTTCAATTGGCAAGTGTCCACATTTTTTTGCATCACCACCACCCATCTCCAGAATCTCATCAGCCAAAATTAAAACTCTGTATTTAATACTAGTCCCTACTCCTGCTCCCTGCAACCACCATTGTACTTTCTGTTCCTATGAATTTACTGTTCTAGATACCTTATATAAGTAGAATCATGCAGTATTTGTGTTTTTGTATCTAGCCTGTTTTACTTGGCTCATTTCAAGCTTCATTTGTTTTAGTATGTGTCAGAATTTCCTTCCTTTTTAGGGATTAATAATATTCCATTGTATGGATATCACATTTTGTTATTCATTTATGTGTCAATGGACATGTGGTCTTTTCCAGCATTTTGCTACTGTGAATAATGCTGCTATCAACATGGTATAGATATATCTGTTGGAATCTCTGCTTTCAGTTATTTTGAGTATATACGCAGAAGTGGGGTTGCTGGATCCACTTTCTATTTATAATGTGCTTTCATGCACAGCGTGATCAAATTTGGTCTTTATAGCAGCCCTGCAACTTAAGTAAGCTTTGATCTCTTCTCTGCCTCCAAAAAGTGGTTTACCCAAAAGTGAAACAATAAATGGGAGTATCCAAAGCTGGAGCTCAGCTTTCTCCTTGATTCCTGACCATTAAGAGTGATCTCAATCACATGTGTCCCTTTAAGGACAGTGTCCTTCTGACTGTAAGCAGCTTGGTCTGTCACCAGCTTCCATCCTTAACAATTCTTAACCATTCTATACAACTCTGACTATGTGGGTCCATTTTCCAGAGACTGTGTCTGTGGTTACAGTGACATAGGTTTCTCCTTTTGGTCTCTATCTCATATTCAATTCAGCTCCATCATCTGAATTATGAGGATCTATTGGCTCTTGCTTGCCACTGGAGTCTGCATGGGAAATGTGAAACCACAGGACATATGCAGGCAAGGGCACCCTGGCATCCCTGGGAATCCTGGTCACAACGGTTTGCCTGGAAGAGATGGACGAGATGGTGTAAAAGGCGACAAAGGGGATGCAGGTATTCACCACCTGATGGACTCCACCTGCCCTTTGCTAAGCCCTTGCATTCCTTTTGTTCATGCACCCATCACCTTTGGGGTTATCGACTACCTGCTTACCCCTAATTTATCCATTTACCCATAGTCCAGCAAACACTTAGGGAAAGACTGCTCCATGCTAGAATCTGGGCTCAATGCTGGGATGCAGCACAGGACAAGACATCATGGACCTTCTCATTTACTGCAAATTCTTGTTTGCCATTCTCTCTAACATTATGGCGTCATTTTCAGGGATGTATGCTGTGATAGATCTTTTAGTCCCAGGCAACAGTTAGCAGTATAGCTAAGAGCTAACACCTTTTCATGCTGTGAGGCAGGCGATGCAGAGAGACAAAGAATGCAAAAAGGTGCAGTCATGCAGCTGCTACTCAGATATCTATGCTATATGTTGGGACCTGGCCCAAGCTTTGGGGGTTGAAGCATAGAATCCAGCCTCTGGAAATGATATTTGCAAAAATCTGGATAGATGAGTCATTTCTTTTTTTTTTTAAAAAAAGAATTATTTATTTATTTATACAAGAACTGGGTACAGGCCAGATGCACGGGAGGGTGAGAGGATTCACCAGAGACAGAGCTGGCAACAGAACAGGCAGACTGATGAAATACACTGCTGAGGGGAGCAGCGGGTGAGACAGGAGAAGTCTGCTGCGCCATGTGGGACCCTCGCTGGCTGGCTGGGATCGAACCAGCACTGCAGAGGCTGCAGACAGCTTCACAGCGCGGTGCTCAACTGCCTGCGCTGCCAGGGGAGGCCCAGATGAGTGATTTCTATAATGCCAGCCCATAGGGATGTTGTCTCTGAACCCTGTACAGAATGCAGGATCACACACCTAAGACAGAAGCCAAATGATCTGTCCGGGCGCAGGAAGGAAACATCAACAGTTCTGCTGACATTTTAAGAAGTAAATATAGGTGAAGACAAAAATTGACCTTTAAAAATATATATTTTACATTTTTAAAGGATAGGGTTTACTAGGAAAGAGAAAGAAAAAGAGAGAGAGACCTGCATAGTCACCGGCAGTCAGGAGAGCTGCCTTTTAAAATATCTAATATGTGGGTTAACATGGTTGGCTAACCCATTTGCAGATGGACATGTGTCATTTGGGGCCTGAATAGGGTCCCATGGGAAAAGTGAACGTCCCACACAGTGAGCAGTCTACCAAGGAGCCCTCACATACTTCAGTGAGTAGTGATGTAATATGTGTGCCTGGGCCAGTGAGTTTTTAAATTATGCTGTCAAACTATCACCAACAGATAAGGGGCTAAAATATTCCTGCAAAGAAATTCAAGATTGAAGGTGAACTTGATAATGCAATCCTTGCAGAATTACAAGAAAGCAATAGAGCTGTCATTTCTGTTCTTAGTGTAAAATTTTCAATAATACGGGGCCTCCCCGGTGGCGCAGCGGTTGAGCGCTGGATTGCGAAGCTGCCCTCAGCCTCTGCAGCGCTGGTTCGATCCCTGGCCACCGGGTGAGGGTCTCACATGGCGCAGACCTCTCCTGCCGCCCTCTGCACCCCTCGGCAGTGTACTTTGGTCCTTCTGCCTGCTCTGCTCCCCGCTCTGACTCTGGTGAATTCTCTCACCCTCCCTCACTTCTGACTGTACCCAGTGCTTGTATAAATAAATAAATAAATCTTTAAAAAAAATTTCAGTAATACGTCACTTGGGAAAAAAATGAAGAACTAGTCAGGCCTGATAACTCTGCCAAAAATTTAGAAATTATTCAGACTTTTGGCACTTTGTGCATCTACTCTAAGCACAGGTCTTGCCTGTTTCTTCACAATTCCTTCAATAGTCACTTTTACTCTGAAGAAGAGGTGCAAGAAAATATTACTTATTGGGTGTTATTAAAATATGACCTTGGTGATTTCTAGAAAGATGACACAATGCTGAGTTTTCTGTTGGGAGGTGCTTTTTGGATAACTTGTAGATCCCTTTATCACCCCTAGAACTGCACAATGCACTCTGCCTAATTGCCTCTGAATGCTCTGTAGTTACTTCACATGTTCTCTTGGTTTTGGGGTCCCCTTGTGTTGGCAGGCAGTATTCGTGGGCAGAAATCTTACAAAATATCTTGAGCCTGGCTCCTCTGGTGTTATCCACCTGGTCTGTACAAAACTCAATACCTGTGCCCTGCCTGACTTTGGAAGTTTGTCATATTCCCAGCACAGCTGATATCTTGCTTCAATTTTTTTTTATTGAACACTGGTTTTAGGTGTGCAGATTTATAATTTGATATCTGTGTATACTGCATGATGACCCCACCAAAAATCTAGTTCCCATTCAACACCATGCAATCTACTCCCTTTATCTGATTTACTAACTCCAATTCCTTCCCCTCTAGTAACTACCATTTTGTGTTCATAATCTAAGAGTTTTGTTTTCTTTTGTTTGTTCATTTGCTTTGTCTATTTCCCACAAATGAGTAAGATTTATGGTGTTTGTTCTCCTTCTGGATTATTTCACTAAGAATAATTCCTTCTTGGTCCAACCATGTTAGCACAAATGGCAAAATTTCATCTTTTTTTTATTTGTATAGCTGAGTGATATACCATTGTGTATTTATGCCCCATCTTCACCCATTCGTGTGTTGATAAGCACTCAGGGTGTGTCCAGCTCTTGGCTTGTAAATTGGGCACAGCTGTCCTCATTGCTCTGTCATCTGAGCAGCGTCAGCTGGCCCAACACACGCTGCCCAGTTAAAAGCCAGGCACCAGTCACCACAATCTCAAACTCCCAAGGTCACATTCTAGCTTTCTCTAAAAATCTCTGGGCAGGGGCCTCCCCAGTGGCTCAAGGGGGTTAAGTCTGAGCACTATGAAGCTATGGGCAGCCACTGCAGCATGAGTCCCATCCCCAGCCAGGGAGCTAAACTACATGGCACAGCAGACCTCTCCTGTCTGGCCTGCTGTCCCCTCAGTATATTTCAGTTAAGCAGCCTTTTCTGCTCCCCACTCTGTCTCTGGTGAATCCTCTCACGGTCCTTCCCTGCACCTCTGGCCTATACCCCAGCTCTTGTATGCACAAATAAATATTTACAAAAAATAAAATAAAATAAAAAATAAAAATCTCTGAGCATACTTTGTTTTGGTGCCAAGCCAGTGTTCCTACAGCTTAGGTCTGGCCAAGGGGTTGTGGTAGGATGGGGTGATAGTCTTTCTTGTTAGCATCTCCCCTGCAGTGTGTACATTTTATTTCCAAATATATGAATACTAATTCAAATTTTTTATTATAAAATCTTTTAGATGTACAAAAGGAGATAGGTATAGATATATAGGTAGCTGATTAAGAAATAGATTTAAAGAAAAAAGAAATGCTTGTATCCAGCACTAAACCTCCGCTTCTCACCTGTTGAGTGGCTTTCCATTTTTTCCTTAATGGTATCCATTCTTTAAAGTTTTTCTTCATATTTCTTCAAAACACATACAATTTAGATATGGTTTATATATACTGTAAAATATGTTTTTTAGAAGGGTAGTCAATCATATTTATAGCACTAAAAATTTGCTTGATCTTTATTTTACCTTTTTTTAAGATTTATTTATGCATACAAGTGCTGGGGTACAGGCCAGAGGTGTGGGGCGTGAGAGGATTCACCGGAGACAGAGTGGGGAATAGAACAGGCAGACTGACTGAAGTACGCTGCTGAGGGGAGCAGCAGGCAAGACAGGAGAGGTCTGCTGCGCCATGTGGGTTGCTCCCCGACTGGCCGGCAATCGAACTCGTGCTTCGGTGACTGCGGACAGCTTCATAGGTTGTGTCTTAACCCTTGTACCACCAGGGAGGGCCTTTATCTTACCTTTTCTAATGTATTTGTGTCTGTTTTATATTGAACACATTTTTACTGCATATAATCTATAAATTCATAAGCAGACATTGATTATATAACTCTTTGTTATGTGGGGGTGCATGATCGAAAAATTTCAAGGCCTGGACAATGGAATAACTGGAATTAAGTCGGGAAAAAAAGAAGTAGTGAGAGGAAGATTGGTACTCCCGGTGTGCGCCAGCAAAGAAAGTGGAGGGGTAAGGAAGACAAGGACTCAAATGTAGCTGGGAGTGCTGCTCAGACTTCAAAAGACCAAAGTTTTCCCTGTGCATGGCTTCCCTGCCTGCCTGGAGTCCCAGGAGACCAGACTTTATGATGGATATAAATCTTCTTATTGTTAGTCTTATGTCAGAAAGTGACCTAGCCTGTCCCTGAACCCACAGCTGATTGAGTGAGGGTCTCTGCTGCTATGGGGGCAGCCAGGGTCTTATATGAACCATTATCTGGTAAGTTCTTCTATTGCTGTGTCTAAAGCCAACCTCTGTCCTGCTAATGTCCCTCTTACTGTGTTCTCTGTCCTCATTGCATGGAATTGAGAGCTCAGGGGAGCTTGTTTCTAGCACTAGGACCCATGTGGGGTTAGCAAACTGCATTGCTTGATATTCTAATATGGTCCTCTGTGCCAGCTTGGTCAGTGATATTTATTATTACTCTATGATACGAGGGCAATCCTTCCAGAATCCTCCCTCCCTTTCCAGGTAGTGTCATGTAACCATAGTCCTCTTTGTTTTCATAGGAGGCTAGTAAACCATTTACTCCACTCCCCTCATAATGATAGACATGGAAAAGTGAGAACATCATCCAGCACTGGGATCTTCAGTCACTTCCCAAGCTCCAGACATATGAGAAATACATATCATGATTGTCAGTGTTCACGCTCCTACCTTGTTCTGCCTTCTGGATCTGGGTGCTTGGCAAGTCCACCGATTCTTTTCAACACTCACTTATTTTACACAACCCAGCAGCCTTGTTGCTTGCTCACATCTGCCTCTCTCTACTAATGCTTCCAAAGGAGGGTTATGCACATCTGGTTTAGGGTCAGCCCCATGCCCCTTCAACCTCTGCCACCAGGTTTGATGAACCTACAATGCCCAGGAAAATCAGAATTGGAATTTCAACTCTTGCCTGTCTTCTTTTTTCCACCTAGGAGAACCAGGACGTCCTGGTGGTCCAGGGAAGGATGGAATGAATGGAGAGAAAGGAGAACGAGGTCAGAAATTGTGTTCTAGTTTACTATGTTCTAATTCTGGCTATTACAGATTTGACATAATTATTAAATGTTTACTAAGGGCGAGTCCTTTATAAATCATCAGACTCTGCTGATGATTTGATAATGAAGGCAAACACTGTTCTCCAGAAACTCATGATTCAGTGAGAGATAGGCAAACTTTTTCTATGAAAAAGGCAGGGGACTGGCTTTGGCCCATGGGCCATAGTTTGCTGAAGTCTGATTTCGTGGATGGGCATTGAAGAGTGAGTTTTGACCTCAATGCATCTGACAACTCTGCACAGAGAAGGTGGCACTTGAATTGGGCCCTGCAAGTTAGGGAGACACTGGCAGTTGTCACCAATGGGGAGGACAAATGACTGTAATGCAAATGTTTCATGTGTTGACTCTCTCAATACAACATCTCAAGGTAGTATTATTATGAGGTAGTATTATTATTCCAATTTTGTAGATGAGGAATCAGATGACCTAACATCCCAGTGTCCACAGTGGTGAGACAGGATTAAGTCTTGGTATTCAACTCCAGAATCCAGCCAGGGTGAAGAGACCAGGGGCACTGGAGCACATAGACAGTAATTAATAGTACCATATACTTGGCACAATAGACAAGCTGAGTGGCACCGTAGAGAGCAATGAATGGCACCCTGCAGGTTTTATATCATGTTTACGCCAGTGAGGGGTACTTTGAAAGATGACCCATAACTAGGACTGAGTGTCAGATGACTGAAAGTAATCTGTGTGGTGCAGCTCTTTTCTGTTCAAAAGATGTGTTCTCTTAAGCATTGTTATTGTTTAGTGGTCAATAGTAGCCTTAGATGGTAAAGAGTTATAGATAGTAAAGAGTTGTAGTATCTAATGTGAGCCCAGACACCAATGTATTGACAAGAGTCAAAAGTTGTTGTTGTGTGCATATGTGTGTGTGTTGCACAATTTAGGAATAAATTGATTTTGAACCCTGCATATACTGGACCTATGCACTGCTCTGTCTCATTTGCATACTCAATAACAGAAAAACCAAAGTTGCTTTTCACAAGATAATGTTCCACAAATCATCTTTTCCTTTGTTCTCTTTTCCTCTACTTAGGAGCAGATGGAAAAGTTGAAGCAAAAGGCATCAAAGGTGATCAAGGCTCAAGAGGATCCCCAGGAAAACATGGGCCAAAAGGATTTGTTGGTCCAATGGGAGAGAAAGGCCTCAGAGGAGAGGCTGGCCCTCAGGGTCAAAAGGGGGATAAAGGTGATATTGGTCCTATTGGTCCAGAAGGACCAAAGGGTGACACTGGACCTTCAGGCCCAATTGGTTTACCTGGCCCCATGGGTCCCATGGGAAAGCCTGGCCCCAAGGGAGAGGCTGGACCCATGGGACCCCAGGGTGAGCCAGGAGTCCGGGGAATAAGAGGCTGGAAAGGGGATCGAGGAGAAAAAGGCAAAATAGGTGAGACTCCAGTTTTGCCGAAAAGTGCTTTCACCGTCGGGCTCACAGTATTGAGCAAGTTTCCTTCCTCAGATGTACCCATTAAATTTGACAGGATCCTATATAATGAGTTCAACCATTATGACATAGCTACTGGGAAATTCATCTGCCATATTGCTGGAGTCTATTACTTCACCTATCACATCACTGTTTTCTCTAGGAATGTTCAGGTATCTTTGGTCAAAAATGGGGTAAAAGTACTGCACACCAAGGATGGTTACATGAGCTCTGAAGACCAGGCCTCCAGTGGTATTGTACTGCAGCTGAAGCTTGGGGATGAGGTATGGATGCAGGTGACAGGAGGGGACAGGTTTAATGGCTTGTATGCTGATGAGGATGATGACACAACTTTCACAGGCTTCCTTTTGTTCATCAGCTAATGACAGAGAAGTGTTTATGAATCTACCTTACCAATCATCAGAATTAGCTTCATGGAGATGTTATTACATGCTTTTACTTTACCAGTTTTACTCATAAAAATCATAAAAAGATGAAAGTAGGAAAGTCATTCCTAAAACAGATTCTCTGTAACTTACTATCCTTTAAGAGTAAATTTTAAATGTGCGTATTTTTTATTAAACTTTATTTAATTGTTTTCATCGTTGCCATTATCTAAAGAATCCTTGGTATGTGTTTCTTGTGAGAAGTGTTTTGATATCATTTTAGTGCTCAAGGGAGCCATATTATGATTTATCTCTCATATCCATTTCTGAGGATATTAGGGATAAAGAAAAGGAAAATGTTTATCCAATTTAGTGACTAATGTGTTTCAATTGGTGACAATGAGTCAGCCCAGAAAATTGCAAAATAGCAAACAAAGAACACTTGGCTAATTTTCTAACTTAGATTTCTTTTTTTTTTTCTTTATACAAGCACTGGGTACAGTCAGAAGCATGGGAGGGTGAGAGAATTCACCAGAGCCAGAGCAGGGAGCAGAACAGGCAGACAAGGGGAGCAGCAGGCTACAGGAGAGGTCTGCACGCCATGTGGGACCCTCACCGGTGGCCGGGGATTGAACCAGCGCTGCAGAGGCTGTGGGCAGCTTCATAACCCAGCATTCAACCACCGGGGAGGCCCTTTCTGACTTAGATTTCAATTGCTATTCAATTCAACTAATAGTTGTTTAGTAAACCATTCACCAGACTTGAATCTGTGTTAGTTGCTTAGCACTGTTGAAACAAAGCATCACAAACTGGTTGACTTTAAACAACATAAATTTATTCTCTAACAGGTGTGGGATCCAGTGATCCCAAATCCAGGTGTTAGCAAGGCCACACTACCTCCAAAACTTTTAAGAAAGGATCCTTTCTTGCTGCTTCCAGCTTCTGGTGGTCCTATGCATTCCTTGGCTTGTGGCAGGATCACTGCAAGCTCTAACTGTCTTCATGACCATCTTCTCTCTGTGTCTGTCTAGGTACACATTTCTCTGATGTTATAAGGACATATAAGGATATCAATCATATTGGATTCGAGGTCACCATAATCCAGTAGAACTTTGTCTGAACTTCATTCCATCTGCAAAGACCCTATTTCCAAATAAGATCACATTCACAGGTATCAAGGGTTAGGGTTTCAACTTATATTTTTTGGGAAACACAGTTCAACCCATAATACTCTGCTCTCTGGTGCCCCAAAATTCATGTCTTTCCCAACATCCCCTAAAGTATTTACAATTTCAGCATCAACTGTAAGTTGAAAATTTTCATCTAAAAATCATTAACTTGGGCCTCCCTGGTGGTGCAGCGGTTGAGCGCTGGGTTGCGAAGCTGCCCGCGGCCTCTGCAGCGCCGGTTCGATCCTTGGCTGCTCCCCGGCCACCCGAGGAGGGTCCCACATGGCGCGCAGACCTCTCCTGCCGCCCGCTGCTCCCCTCAGCAGTGTACTTCGGTCCTTCTGCCTGTTCTGCTCCCCGCTCTGGCTCTGGTGAATTCTCTCACCCTCCCGCGCTTCTGACTGTACCCAGTGCATGTATAAACAAAAAACAAACAAAATAAATAAATAAATAAATGAAACAGGCCTCTAAAAAAAAATAAATAAAAAATAAAAATCATTAACTCACGTATCATGTAAATCATTTAAGCCAGGTATATGTGAGATCTATTGTGTGAATAATACTGGATAGAAATGTCTCTCTGCGAATCTAAGAAACCACACAAGATATTTTTCTAAAATACAATGGTGGTTTTTGAAATTCCTGCTATGAGTGAGACCATCTGATATTTTTCTTTTTCTTTCTGGCTTATTTTGCTGAGCAAAATAAGCATAATCCCTTCCAGCTCCAAACATGTTGCTTCAAATTGCATGAGTTTATCTTTTTTGATTGCTGTATATGTACCACATCTCCTTGATCCAGTCATCTATTTTGGAGCATATGGGTTGTTTCCATAGCTTAGCTATTGTAAATAGTGCTGCAATAAACATAGGGGTGCAGGTGTCCTTTTGAATTGATGTTTCTGTGTCCTTTGGGTAAATACCTAGGAGTGGAATTGCTGGATCATATGGAAACTCCATTTTTAGCAGGTTGAGGAATCGCCACACAGCTTTCCATAGTGGTTGGACCAGTTTGCACTCTAAGGGACCAGGAAAAAGACTAATTATAATAAAGTAAAAATCAAAATCAACAAGGAACTATAAACCAGAGATACACTATGGTGGGAGTGGGGGTGGGGGGGAGGAAGGAGTAGGATCAAAACAAGGGGGGTGGGAATTGTATGGGGACTATAACCAAGATGAAAATGCATACATTGTGCAAAAATGAAAAATGATGTAAAAATATACAAAAGAAAAAAAAAAGAAAAAATACAACGGTGGGACAGGTCTCAGATAGGTTTTTTTTTTTTTTTTTATAATTTACCACCTCTAAATTTGTAAATTAGCTCTGCAAAAGAAAAAGTTTACTGGCCAGAAATCTCAAACAGGGTTACAGTTGGAAAAGGAGGATCGGAATGATTTTTTTTAAGAGAATAGGGTAAAGGGAACTTTTACCTCTCCCTGCAGTTTACTCATTCAAGACACCCATTTTTCTTTTTTCAGGTAAAAGTAACCTAATGTCCACTCTCAGGCCAACTCTTTTAGATGGAAGATTCCACACTCTGGGAGGACATGGGATTCAGGCCTGGCTAATGAGAATTCCTTCTTTTCTGGCCATGGTGTCTATTTCCTGATGGCACTTGAGCCAGTCCAGACAAACATTTGGCTCCAATAATGGAGGACATATTGACAATAAAACAATGATTGTTTTCAGCTGAATTTCAAGCTTCAGCTGGCAGCTTTCTTGCTAACCTATAGAATCTAAGAAGAAAGCTAAAGAGAGCTGAGGATAATCCATTTCTGAAAGCAGAGATTATCCTGGAATTTTTTTTGTGAGCAGACAAATTCCTGATTTGCTTAAACCAGTCTAATGCAGATTTTTTGGTTATTGCTTTTACCACCACTTTCTTCTAAAGGAATCTTAAGTCATCTATGGTCCTAAGAGAGAGGCAGCAAGATTACAGTGCAGAAAGTCCAAGACTAAGAGTGGGGTGTTCTTCTGGCCAAGACAAAGGCATTTAAATTGGATGAGTTATTAAGCATTTCTATGTCCCCTACTGTACAGTAGTGGTTGAACTGAATTGTTTCATATAGCCCAAATCCTCCTTCAAAATTATGCAGCTATCACGTGTGCCTTAATTTAACTTGATACATTTTTCTGTTAGCTCAGAGCAACTAACAGAGAAATAAAAGGACACGAGTTCAGCACATATTCAAGCTACAGCATTTTTAAATCACAGCCTGGGATGCTTTACCTGACAGGATGTGCTGCTTGAAATTGGGACTTACAGCCATTTTATCCATATCGTGACCAAGTTAATTTGATTGTTCTTCATTCTCTGGGAAAGTGGGTTTTTTTTTAAAATATCATTTTAAGTAGGCAGCACTCTGTAGATGAAATATTGCAAAATTACTTGGTGACTATGTATTTTGGAAATACACAGAAATAATTTCTATTTATAGGTATTTTATTGCCCTTCCTTAATTTATATTTCTTCTAGAGCAGAACTAGAAGTAGGGTAAAGCAAATGAGGAATCCAGGGTACAAAATTGAAGAAGAGTCTCACTCTCATGTGCTGACGCTGCATGCACATGACCACCACAGTGTCTGCCTTCTTAATTTTTGTAGCCCAGGTCACCAGCTTGCCTCCATGCTCTACTTCTGTCCGGCTCTAAATGACTGATCATTTTAAGTAATTAATTTTGAATTTATTGAGCCACAATGTCCTTATTCTTTGTTTGTTTTTGAATTGTAATAATCCATATTGCTTTCCCACTGTGTAGACTGGTTTTGTTAAGGACACAGTTGTATAAGCTGAATTAAGTACATGCAAACAATACAACTGATGAACAGGGTATAGGATAGATGTTTTTATAAATTTCTTTTTGCAGGGCAAATACAGAAAAAGAGATATTTTGAAAGGCCTTAAAAAAAGTGGCAATCCCTTCCATTTAGGATTGTTTTCCACTGTTATCTGTGAATCTAGACTGATTAAGACAATCTAGCTCTGCCAGACTCTCTTATACACAAGACCCTTAACTTTGCACAAGCCATCTTCAATTGAGAAAGTTTTGAGGCTTAAATGTTTATATTATAAGAGGTTAGGTACCCATGAATAAAAACTACTCTAGGCCAGTGAAAGTTTCCCCCTTTAAAAAAAAAGATAACAAAAAAGCATTTTTTTGGTCAAATATCTAAATGTATTTTCTTTTGTATATGACACATTTGATATCTTTGTAAGGGCCTGCTATACAGGTTAAATCTGCAATGTGGGGTGACTGCTATGAGTTAACATAAATATTTTAAGAACCAACAAATTACAGATAATGACATTAATAAACATCAAGTTACAAATTTGGGGATTTTAAATAACTTTATAATTAAAAAAGTAGAAAATTAAATCACAATGTACCCTATGTTCCTAATGTCATATAGAATATAGTTAAGCTGTAAAGAATTCTATAGGTACACTATTGTACTTATTTTAACTAAATTTTAATTGCTATAATCGTTATCATCATCAGTATCACTTGAGCTTTTCCTCCCTCTAAGATAAATTGAGGACAAATTCCATTTAAAACTAGATTTTGGGGGAGGAGAGTTAATTATCTATGGGGCTCATGCATCATGTGTGGCTTTCACTTCTGGCTTTCTGGAAATTTAGAGAAGGTTCTTAGGACTACTCAAGAGGCAATGTTACAATAAATGCAGCTTTACTCTAAGCCTAAAACATTCATTTGAGATAAAACACTGATGCAACTTCAAATAAAGTACACTTAAGGGCCTCCCTGGTGGCACAGCAGACCTCTCCTGTCTTGCCCACTGCTCCCCTCAGCAGTGTATTTCAGTCAGTCTGCCTGTTCTGTTCCCCTCTCTGTCTCTGGTGAATCCTCTCACCCCCCACATCTCTGGCCAGTACCCCAGCTCTTGTATGCATAAATAAATAAATCTTTTAAAAAATAAAGTACACTTAAGAAAACATGACTATAGTTTGCATAGAATAAGAAGGTTCACTTGGGTTCTTACTCCTTTGCCAAAGTCACACCTCTAGTAAGCAAGACAAATGAACCATCCTTTAACTAGAAGATCACAGTCCTCAGTGCTCTTTGCATTCTGATACTGATGTATGGGAATCATTGTCTAGGTCCTGCATAAAGCTGAGATGAAAGGTGGTATTTGAGGAGCCAGCAGAAGGCTGAGGGAGCAGACTTGTCCTTCTGCTTACTTTCTCAGTGGTCTCTCCTGACACCCAGTGACTCTGCTTCACTCATACAGAAAGAAGACTTCTCAACCGGCTAGTCTCAGGTTCATCTTCCATTCAGCAACTACACAAGTGGCAGGTGTCTGGAGACAGCCAGGCAAAATGTGAGTTTCTTTGGCAGCAACACTTTTCCTCCCTGTACCCACGGTCCCTTTTCCAACTAGTGGTCCTCTTTTCTGAACACACAGAAGTCTCTCAACAACAACAACCACAACCAACCAACCCCTTACTGTTAGCAAAACCCTTTCATGCTCTCCAGGAAGGTAGACGAGGCAGCTAGTATAATTTCCTTTCTGCAGATCAAGATAATATAAGTTTAGCAACGTTAAACCTCCGATCGTGGATGGGAACGTAGGTCTTGACTCCAGCTCTGGTGTGATTTCCATTCATTCAGAGGAGGCTCAGCAGTCCAAAGAGTCCCCACCCTTTTTCATGGCAGCACTATTTCACATTCCCATCCTTAAACTCTAAATCTCTTCTCCTGCGAAGTCGTTTCATTTCCTTTTGGTTGATGCAAGTTTGTTGAAATTCTCCCTCTTCAAGTTTATATTGTGGATTATTGCAATTTTACAAGTCAAAATAGATCAAGATTTACTGACAGTTAATTTACCCAGTTCCACAAACCATATATTTAACTTAAAGCTTCTATCAGAGTGGAGGCCGATCGAACGGATGCTTTGTGCGGTCCTGTAACGCCTCAGAAGGCATTGAGATCGAACCTACCGCGATCCCTGGGTGTTCCCTGGCCCCTGCTCCCGGACCCCTGAGGAATTCATCTACAGTAAGACTTTGCTGTCTCTAGTCAAGTGGGAGGGAAGGGGAAACGTTGATACTTCCTTACTCCAGACACCAGGGGGCGTGAGAGCGTGGCGGCGGCTGAGCAGGAGGCCGGGCGGCGCTCTTGTCCTCGGAGTGCCGAGGTGCGCGCGCCGACCCGGAAGTGGGGGGCGTCTCGTGGCGCGGCGTGGTCCGCTGCCTTGGAAACGCGGCGCGCGTGCTCGGGGCTGGAAGAGCTAAGCCGGGGCGGGGGTCTGGAGGCGGGACGAGGGGCTACGCTGGGGACATGATGCTGTGCGCGGGAGGGCTGGGGGCCCTGGGCACCCGGACTGCGGTTCTACTGTCGCAGCCCGCGCTCCTGGGAGGCCTCGGCGCCGGAATCCGGGCCCGAAGGGTCAGCACCAACTGGTCCTCTGTAGGCGCCGCCTTCAATGTGAAACCTCAGGGCCTGCGCCTGGACCTGTTCGGCGAGCGCCGGGTGAGCGGCGCGGGCGGGGGCTCACCTTGTCTCTGCAAGAAGCAGGGCAGCGAACCCGCGTTGTGGAGTCATTGGCATTCGTGGTGACCTTGTCCAGCACCCCTTTGAGAGGCTGGGATATAGGGCGCCGGGAGGGCCGTAGTGTGGGTCCCAAGAGCTGCCTCTGCATGAGTTCCTTGCCTCACGTAAACTAAGTGTTTTCTGTTGGCAATTATGCCTGCGGATCCCGTCCTTTTGCACTCCCCGCTACTCCGTTCGTTTTTGCTTCAACCCATGCTGCCTCGCCCTAGGAATGCACAGGAGGTATCCAGTTGTCTTTGCAAAGACACTCTTACCTTCAGTTCTGTAATTACTAATTCTCCTTATGCCTGAAACAACGTCAGTTTTTTCCCCAAAGTTATGGGCTATTTTTTTTTTTAAACTCAAAACTGAGAAAAAAGAAGAAAAAATAACCCTCAAAACTGTTGAGAATAGTCTGATTTTCTGTAGTACGTTGGAGTTGATCATGTTGATTTCTGCCCGCCTCCCGCCAGGAAGTCACTGAGTAAATTCTTTGGTTCCATTTTATTTCGTAATTCAGGTTTCCCCAGCAAAGGTGTTGGACATTCAGTAGCCACTCAATATTTACTGAATGACCGAACTGAAGGTGAAATGAAGGCAAACTTGAACTTACCTTATGTCTGTTTTACTATATACTAAACCCTGTATATAGGTTTGTGTGATTTACTGTGACTTTTGTCCATTTTTAATTTATTACATTAAATAAGCATTTATTTTTTCACATGCCATTAACTTAAAAAAAGAGACTAGGATATCGTTTCAGTAAACCTAATGGTATGAGTCTTATTATTTTATCTGTCATTAGCTTTCCATATGAGTAAAGGATGGGTGAAATAGAACTAATTTTTCTTTTGTATATCATAATTTTGGGTAGTGATACCAGATTTTCGAATATATGAATTAGTTTTTGATTCGAAAAAAATTATGTACTTTTTCAGCCTTACCATAATTGTAGCCTGAGGTGTATTGGGAAATGTTAATAATTGATGCTTCAATCAAATTAAGTGAATGTAAACATTAAGTTTATTTTTGGTTCTGATTTTACTCTGTCCAGATTAAATGACAGGATTAAATGACAATGCATATAATGAAACAGTAACAGCACCTGGCATATAGAAAGCATTTAATAGAGGTTAGCTATAATCATTATTAGCTGTGTAACCTTGGTCAAGTTTGTGCTTACTCTTTTATCAGGCATAATAAAGGGTGACAATAGATACCTTACAGCATGGATACAGGTACAAAGTTATAAAGTATATGTCAAGTCCTTAGGACATTGTCCTGCATAAAGTGACTACCAGAAAACTGTACCAATGTTACCATTTACTTTGTTTTAAACTGTACCATTTATTTTCTTCATTTTATTAATGTATTTTGAAGAGATTAACAAGTTAACTTGATGCATCCCTTCTTGCTAAAACAGTAGATCTTCATGAGGCCTTAAAGTTTTACCTCTTCATATTTCTCCCAATCAACATTGTTAAGCATCTCCTAAGTTAATTTACAAAGTTAAGCATCGCCATTATTTTTTTTTCATTCTTTGAGTTCCTCCATGTTTTAGGCAGTAAATAGAACAGCTAGTTTAAATGATGAAGGGCCTGGTGTCTGGGAGTTTCCTTCAAAAGAAGACTTGCAGACAAATTTACAGTAGAGAGCTATGGAGAAAGTGTGGGCTTTAGAGGTGTGTGGAGCAGACTCAAGTTCTGACTTTCTCGCTGTTAGTGACTGCAAACATTTTTAACTTCTTAAAGTGTGTGTGTGTGTTTTAATCTATAAAAGGAGAGTGGTAGTTCCTTGCTCTAGGTTTGTGTGATTTACCGAAAGAACCTATATACAGGACTTAGTACACTTCTTGGCATGCAGTAGATGTATATTGAATGTTTGGATTTTACTTTCTGCTTTCCTGACTCCTATAACAAGTGTGATTAAACTGGTTCAATAAGATGGTCATTTCCATTAAATTAGTGATTTTTGTTTTTATCAACACAAAAATGAAATGATTTTGTAAGCAAAAAATTTGCTGCCATTTTCAGCCAATGACTAGGTTTAACATATTTTATTTATTTAACATATTTTAACATTGGTACAGTTTTCTGGTAGTCACTTTATGCAGGACAATGTCCTAAGGACTTGACATATACTTTATAACTTTGTACTTGTATCCATGCTGTAAGGTATCTATTGTCACCCTTTATTATACCTGATAAAAGAGTAAGCACAAACTTGACCAAGGTTACACAGCTAATAATGATTATAGCTAACCTCTATTAAATGTTTTCTATATGCCAGGTGCTGTTACTGTTTCATTATATGCATTGTCATTTAATCCTGTGAATTAGGTTCTGTATTAGTGACAGCTTGACTTTGAACCTATATTACTATATCCTTTTATAAAATAATTAAAATTAGAAGAAAAATTATAAGAACTTTTTCTAATTTATGTGGAATGATGCACAGAATATGAAAGTGTTGTCTGTGTTTGGAGGTATTATATAATATACCAACGGAAACCAAGATTTCTTTTGTGAAAAAAGTATTTATATGATACCAAAAAATCAATGTTTTAGTTTTACATTGGAAATATTCTTTTGACTTCAGGGCCTTTTTGGAGTTCCTGAGCTCAGTGCTCCAGAAGGATTTCGTATTGCACAAGAAAATGCCTTGAGAAAGTCAGATTTGCTAGTGGAGCGCGTGTGTACTATGCCGCCCGGACCCCAGACGGTTCTTATCTTTGATGAGCTCTCTGATTGCTTATGCAGAGTGGCTGACTTGGTAAGATGCTTAATATAAGACTTGGAACTATCTTTTCTTGTAAGCTAGTAACATTTACCCTAGGTTTGTTAGGCATAATAACACACCATAAAGTTAAAAATGTCCTAAGGATATTTAGAACTCTTAGTTTAACATGTATATCTAATAAAATATGCATGTAGAAAGTCATAAAAATGATTGCTCACATGGAAAATATTCACTTGAAGCATTCTTCATTTATAAAAACTTGAAGTTTTAATAGAATATTTGTATGTTTACAATGACAGTCTTATGAAGAGCAAGCTTTTATAAACCTCTTCAGCAATGCCTTTTCTAATTAAAAATGTTGTTTCAACATCACACTGATTGTATTACAAACTTCCTTATTTTTAACATTTTCAAATTAAAATAGAAGTGTTCCTGGGTCTTTTCACCAACAAGGAAACCTATTGCTGAGACAGAAGGCATGATTTTCTTTCAGCCCCAAGGTGCCACATTTGAGCAATCATTTTAGTGATGGGGATTAATGTGGTACATACAATCCAAAACCATAACTCTCATGATCCTTCCTACTTGGTATTAAGCTATATATATCTTCTTCTTCACATTTGTTCAACATTCAATCCCTTCCATGTGCCAGGCACTGTTTTAGGTCATGGAAATACAGTCATGAATGAGACTGGCACATTTTCTGACTTCATGGAGCTTATGCAGGAGTTAACTTTTTTTTTGTTTTAGCTCTTAGAGGTGCTGGACCTTGGTAAGAGAGTTACTTAGATTAATTGTCTCATTTTCTCCATTTTCAGATGACAAAAGAAAGACACTAAATTTAAGTGATGTTCTAAGATTACTTGCCCATAAGTGATGTAACTGGGCCCTTTATCCAGGCATTCTGACTGTAGCACCTGCTGTTTTATACCCTTTGAAGGACTGACTGACTGCTTGCGGGCAGGTGAAGTCTTACCTATAGCGGCTGGGAGTAGTTAATCTCCTCATCTTTTAAAAAAGTGCTTATTTTAAAAATTATACAATAAAATTGTCTTCTTTTGGGGGGAGATGAAGTTTTGTGAATTTTAACTTGTATATTCATGTAGCTACCACCAGTCAGGATACATAAATACTCCTGCACTCCCAGATAGCGCCTTTTTTAATTCTCCCCGTTCCTTATTTACCTCTTATCTCGCAGACTGCCAAACTCTTTTCTATCTCTGTAGCTTGTTCTTTTCTAAAATATCAACTACATGGACTCATACATAGCTTTTGAGGGTCACTCCTTTTTCCTGGCAGTGTATCTCCCCATTTCTGTTTTTCCCTTTACCAGAAAAAATCCTTTTTCCCATTCACCTGAATTGATCAATATCACTTTGCATATTAACATGCAGTCACTATAGGCTTCCCAGTTTTAAAAAAAAAAACACTATTATAAAGTATCTTATCTCAAAAGATTTTCAGCTAGGAGTGAAGTGAGCTATTTTGCAGGCTCTTTGTGGTCAGTTCTCAGATTTACTGGATCTCGGTTCTGTTCCTATGGTATGTGTGTACCAAATGCTTTGAAAGGTGGAACAACATGGTAGTCACACTGCCAAAAAGGAGGCCTTGAACCTTCCCCATTTAATTATGTCACTGAAATCTGAAAAGGAAAATGTTTGTCAGTGAAATTCTTAGGTGTAATCAAAGACACATGGTCCCTGACTTACAGTAATTGGATGTAGGACTCTAACTTTATGATGTGAAATCCATACAAATTCAGGAGAAACCATGCTTCGATTCCTGAGTTTGGATCTTTTCCTTGTTTAGAGAGAAGATTCTCTCTCACATTGCTGGGCAGTGGCGGCATGCTGAGCTGCAGCTTCCAGCTGACTGGTACTCTGCAGAGCTGTGTTGACATTTTTTGAATATTATATTTGTGTTTTCATTTCCTGTCTTGTCTACATAATACCTTTGTCCCTCTACTCATGAAAAGGGGAAGAGAAAGGCAGTTATGCTTGAGATGAAACTCAAGATAATTGCCAACTGTAGGCTAATGTAAATGACATTTAAGGTCATCTAGGCCAAGGTATGATTTTTTTTAGCAGGTTAGGTATATTAAATGCATTTTGTCTTAACCTTATTTTCAACTTATGTTGAGATTATTGGGACATAACCCCCATGGTAAGTTGAGGAGCTTTGTATTAGCTTGTGGTGAAAAATCCCAGAACTCACTTTTATTTTGTTGTCTTATCTTCCATCTTAATTAAGCAGTGTTCTAGGATTTTCCCCACATTTTTACCTTTCTCTTTACTAAAAGATTTTAAGTTGTCTGCTTTATAGCGTTTCCTGTTTTTAGAGTCTTACATCTATATTTGTGAAGTGTAATAATGCCTTATTTAAAAAACTTGTAATGTGATTTTTGCATGTAAATATTGGGGTAGGAAATGCAAAGAACCTTCTTCCTTTATGAATTTTTAAGATTTTAACAGCTGGTAAGATCAACAGGTTTTATAAACTGTTTCCTACCAAATGGTCATTTTGCTTTATTTTTCTTTTTTACTATGTTGCTTTGTAACTATATTGTTTTATCACTCTGACAAATGAATTTTTAAATGTATGCTAGTGTTTTGAATTTGGATATTGATTGTAAATTCCGCCACATGTGGATTAGTAATTTCTACATGTGTTGTAATTTTACATAGCTCATTTTTCAGGTGCTTTAGTACAAATGTTATATTATTGTTACACCGAATGTGTCCAACTATGGATTTAAATGTTTTTACATTAAAAACTATTTGATAATAAAATTAGGAAATTTTACCTTGTGGTGATGTCATTTCATGTTGTAGTATTATCTTCTTGGAGAATGAAGAAAATATGTAGTTACTTTGTAGTTTGCCTGCATTTTTTGGGTAATATACTGTGATTAACCTGAAAGGTAAAATCTAGTTTTATATGATTTTTAAAAAACAATTCTGTTAATTTTAAGTTCAGTGTAGTAAGCAGCCTTACTAACTGTGGTAGTCATGTGCCATCTAGCCTGGCCTTGTGAATTAATTTTTCCTGAGAGGGCTATAAAGAAAGAATGTTCCTTTCTTTTCTCCATCAAGGCTAGAATGTTGCCAAATCAGTCTTGAAGCTGCTATGTGTCAATTTAAAAAAAATCCAAAGCCTCTAAGAGTTTTCTGGAACCTGGTTAATATGTAAGAAAATTATTGAAAACAATTTTCCTTAGAAAGTTTTAGAGTATTTGAAGAAAGAGTCTGCTTTTTGAACTATAGAATTAGAAAGAATTTACTTGGGGTTTCTATTTGTAGGAGAAAGACTTTTCTAAAATAAACTTAGCAAAAGCATTTTCTTTCAAATGAAACAAATCTAGTTCCAAGGAATAACGGAATTAAAAAAAAAAAAGTTCAGAAAGAAGCTGCTTTGTCCTACTAGTTTAGGAAAATGTCAGTAATGGCACATTTTAAAACACAGGGTTTCATTTTCTCTCAGATTCTGGGAGAAAACTTTCCATCAAATTCCCTTTTGGTTTTCTCTTTCCTCTTTATTAGGCTGATTTTGTGAAAATTGCTCACCCTGAGCCAGCATTCAGAGAGGCTGCAGAAGAAGCTTGTAGAAGTATTGGCACCATGGTAGAAAAGTATGTTATTTTCCACCTTTGGTATAATATTGGGTGACAAGGTTTGATGGATTTTTCCACAGGCTTGTCCAGTGGGGGTGGGGGTGCTATCCCTGCTTGGCTATTCTGGGGTGGTGGCGAGAAGGAGAACCTGGGAGGGAAAGAGACCACCACCCTCACCTTCCAGCCCTGCAGTGGGACTGTGGGCTAGTTATCTGTTTCACCACATATGTTTCCTTGTCTGTAAATGAGGAATAAAATGATTTCTTTCTTAGGGTTATATGGAAACTTAGTGTCAGGCTCTTAGGAAACATTCAGTATCCTTATTGTTTTTATTTTTACCTCAAGGGAAAGGTTTTATCACATCTTAGATATGAGTTAGGTTTACTAGGTTAATGTGTGATTAACTTGCTGTGGATTGATGACTGGGCCACAGGGCAAGAAACCAACATCACCTCTAACCAGTGGCCTTGCAGTCTCTGTAGAGCTGGGCTTGTGGGGTCTGGGAAGAGATCATAAACCATGCGGCAGCATTGAGAAGGACTGGGCTGTGAGCATGAGATAATTCTAAGTGATTTTGAGGTATAGTTAAGTATTTATTTGTGTCATTTATGAGAGCTGTGGAGTGCTTTTGTTTTTAGAAGTGTAAAGTGCTGTATTTGAAGCTCTCAGAGGTGTGATATCTTGCCAGAAAGTGTATAAAACTCTTGAGAGTGCTGGGGCTTTTGAAGGGAAAGAGGCCAGGCAGCATCAGAAAACTATTTCACAAACCAAATTTGTTGGAGGAGGACAGTGGGGGCTTCTCCAATTCAATTAGAGAGCACCTAACAAGAGCTGAGATACAGAATTGCCTAGAGAAAAGCCCTAATAAATTAGTTTGAGCTGCCAAGTTGCCCACCTGAGGCATGCTGAGTGCTGTGTTGTGCCTGGATTAAGGTATGGTCTGGTCTAGTGGACATGGACTCTTAATTTTGTGGGAGGGTAATGGGGAACCACAATTGGTAGCAAAATGTTGTCAAGTGTGTCTCTGGCTAAGGTCTTCACTGTGGAGAGCATTTCATTCTGTTGATCTTTACCACAATCTGGCTGCTGCCTTGAAGCCTGCTGAAGGACCTTATAGGAAAATCATGACACAACTCCTAGCCTTCACCAGGGCTTTGTTTTCCGTTCTTGCTAAGCACGCTGACTCATTTTCTCCTTTAGTCTAACTGCACCATGGCTTACCTAACTGCTTCAATTCATCTTTGAAAAATAGCGTTATTGTACATTCTTGTGTAAAACTGATTTAGTGGAAAAAGTCTAAAATTGGATTTTTTTCCAAATGCCAAACAAAGACTTATATTTGGTAAATATAAATATTTACTGTAAAAGATGCTGGAAAATATGGGCTCTATCTCAAGATCTTACAGCATAAATTAATGTGGGAGATTTGCTCAAACTTCTGAAGTAGGTACAGCGCTGTTGCTTCTAAACTGCTGTCCTTTTGATGTAGGGTAGCTCGTGTAGAACAGGTGGAGGTGGACTCCATGTTGATGTTCTCTTCTCCTTGGTTTCCTGGGCTCAATGTCTGAGAGCAGGAGAGAGTTTTGTGCCTGGTCTCCTTGCTTAGTGTTTTTGACTGGCCGTGACCCATTTGCCTTGGTGTTTGGAGTGGCCTATAAGAAAAGTGGAAACAGACACCCTTTGATTTATATGAAACGGCAGGATTTAGATTGTGAACTGGAACCTGACCACCCTTTAGTCCCTGAATAGGAATTGGTCTGTGGTTCTCACAACCTCACCCTTCCCTGAGAGTCCTTCAGGCAGGGAGATTATATCTAAGAATAGTGCACCATTTAGCCCTGAGAGAGTTGTGGTTTCTTGGCATGCAGTGAAGGAGGATTTAGGACCTGCCCAAAGATACTGACATTTGGGTTGAGGGCAGTACTCAGGTTGTTCAAGGCAGGCTGGCACAGCCACCTAACATAGCTGTGGTTCATAAGTATGGGTAGTGATTGCTGTGCACACGTTATCTCATTTAACCCTTTGGAGACCTGAGATCTAATAAACTAAGGGAGCTCAAATACTTGCCCGAGATCATGGAGTAGTAGTTGGACCTGAGTATGGACCCCTAGTCTATGTCCTTGAGCTCGCCTCACAGTGTGGGCCTGCCGTTCTCAACCAGGTGAGCACAGGTAGCCCACGTTCTCTAGTACTCAGCTCAGGGCTACAGAATCTTTTTTTTTATTTATTATTTGCATTTATTTGTTCTCCCTCCTATTTGCTTTTATTAAAAAACAACAACAACAACAACAAATGACAGTTGGCAAATTTTTACAGGAGCTGGCAGAGGGGTCAGATGACCAGTTACCAACTTCCTCTTTTCTCTTCCCCTCTTTCCTTTCACTCTTCTGACCCTACCTGCTGACTGTGGCATTAAAGTTATCCTTTTACTACCCACAACAATTACTACCTTGACACTTTACCTAACAGATGACCTGTCCCTATAATACTCAGTATGGTTATGCTATTCCTAGTCCAAATGAAGAAGCAAAACAAAACAATGTCTCAAATCTTTGGCCTCTGGGCATGAGTATGCTAGAATTAGACAGCATTTGTTTAATATAAAATTAAAAAGAAGGTATTAGAAATTACTTATTTTTTTTTCATTTGTAATTTTTTTAGGTTGAACACAAATGTGGAATTATATCAAAGTTTGCAAAAATTACTAGATGACAAAAAACTTGTGGATTCTCTGGATCCAGAAACCAGGTATTTATTCTTTTGCATTCATTGTGATTGTGACTATAGAGGTGATACTGAAGGAATTGCTTAAATGTCTCTGCCCTCACAGCCCCCTTTGTCCGCCAGGTTTCTCCACATGTCTGTGTATGATTCCTGTACTTCTTCAGGAGTCCACTCATCTGATGTCTCCTCTAAGATCTTTATACCAGATCATGCTCATTCCCTTACCCTGCTCCCTACCCCTCCCCCTTTTAATACATTTTAGCATTATTCCATCTGTTAGTTTATCATCTCTTTACCTTACTAGACCGGAAGCTCCTAGAGGGCAAGGAGGTAGTTACTTTTCTTCACTGCTGCAGCTTTAGCACCTACACAAGTTGTAACCTGTGATAGGTGCTTAATCAATGAATGAATTACCATACACAGTTGATAATTACACTTAACTTTATACTTTAATGTCCTATAATTGATATCACCAGAAGATGCAAACTGATTTTATTTTCTGGGTGGATGCCACGGTCCTTGAAATGATTTGCTTTGATTCATTAGATAACATTATTAATCTAAATTGAAAAGGTCGAATTTTTAAGTCAATACTTAAAAATATTTGATACAGGATATTTGTTTGCTTAAATTTAAGTAAGTAGGTTTTCATTAATTTTCCTTTATGTTATTTGTCTCATAGCACATAGCAGTTTTTCTTGTTTGTACTTACCTGCTTTTATTTATGGGACATTTAGTTCTTTTGACTCCTTGATTCTCCTTCCTCCTGCTTCTTTCTTCCCTTTTGTCCCCATATGAAGCATGTGACCCCAAATGAAATCCTGTTCTACAAAGATCAGTTGCTCATGGAATCTTGTGTTAGTCTTGCATATGAGTGCCCTGCTATCTGAAGAACACAGCAAGTGAGGCTGTCTCTGAGGTAATACCGACCTCATAGGTATTAGGTCGGTATTAGGCTTGGCCTTATTTCATGCTATTGATCTTGATGCTTAGGATACTAGTAAAGCTAGTTAATACCATCAGAGCATTGCTTGTCTTCATTATAATTTTAGGCTTGAGCATTATATTGTCTTAACTGGCAAAACAAATAAAAGTTGAATGTCCCCTAGTTGTGCCAGATTTATACTCATCTGGTACTGACTGAGTAGCAACAGTATACTGTTAATAATCTGACTTTACTAAACATTAATTTTTTCATATTTAATGTATAAATATTGTAGTGAAGTAATAGACTATAGTTATGTGCTGCATATCAATATTTTGGTCAATAATGGACACATATATGAAGGTGGTGTGTGTAGTAGGGTATAGCATCTAGGTTTCTGTAATGACGTTCACATAATGTCAGAATCTGGTAATGACACATTTCTTAGAATATCCCTGTTGTTGACACATGATTGTATTTTAGTTACAAAGGACTTGTGCTAATAGGCTACATACCACATTTCTTGATGTTACTAAAAATGCTGTAGGTAACTTGAAAATGGGAGGAAAAGAGTTTAAAATAATGATTATTGAAATACCTTGGACTTGCACGTTATCAAGAGTGTTGGCTAGTACCTAGGAAGAACTTTGCCTATGGTAAAGTGTAAGACAATGGCTAAAATAAAGAATTACAGATTTAATAAATTGTCTTGTTAATGTATAGAAGAAATGATTTAAATTGAGTATATTGATTCAAATGTATTATTAGATGCATTCTTTGAAATGCTAAGTCTTGGAGATATTTAAAAGTATTCACAAAAGGGTCCATTGGTCAGTAAGTTTGGAAATCTGATATAAATGTTTTTTCTTGAAGAATTTTGATATATTAGTCTCCAGGGAGCTCAGTCATAAAGAGACCTGTTTTACTTGGGGTTTTCCAAAACCATCAAGAGCTTTCTTGTATGTGAAGATTGTAACAAATACACTCTAGAAAATACAAAGGAAGGGGAAATTCCAGTCACAAGAGCAGCAAAAGCTGTAATGACCTTGGACTATCAAGAAGGCAAAGCATCCAGAATCTCAAACCTATACATGCATACCTGGGAAGAGTGAAAGATGACACTTAAATAAAAAAGAAACTGTATTCTTAGCTAAGGAGAAATTTCAGTCGTGTTCTCAACTGATCTGTAAGTTTAATGGTATCTAATATAGATCTAAGAAGTTTTTTTGTTTATTAAAATGATTTTGAAGTCATAGAGAATATATATATATATATATATATATATATATATATATATATTAGAATAAGCAGGGAAAATCTGATATAGAAAAGTACTAAGAAAGGACTTATACCAGATCAGAACATATATAAAAATACTGTATGTAAAAGAGCACCAAATTTAATACCAGAATAGTCAATTAGATCAAAAGAAGAATAGAGACATTTCGGACATATATATAAGTAGTGTGTCATTTCACTTTAGGAGGGAAAGACTTGCTTTCAGTAAATGATGTTAGCCATTTGGATAAGCATTTTGGAAAAAAGCAGATTAATTAAAGATTTAAATACTAAAAAAGAAATAATAGGGCCTCCCTGGTGGCAGAAAAGGTTAAGACACAACCTGTGAACCTACCGCAGCCACTGCAGCACGAGTTCAGTGGAAGGCCAGGGAGCTACCCACATGGCGCAGCAGACCTCTCTTGACTGGCCCGCTGCTCCCCTCAGCAGTGTATTTCAGTCACTCTGCCTGTTCTGTTCCCCACTTTGTCTCTGGTGAATTCTCTCGCCCCCCACCACACCTCTGGCCTGTACCCCAGTTCTTGTATGCATAAATAAGTAAATCTTTAAAAAAAAAAGAAATCATAAAGATATTGATACCTTGGAGTGTGGAAGGTCTTTCTTCATATGATAACTACATCAGACCATGAAAGGTAAGATTGATTTGATAATATAAAAACTGCAAACATTGGTGTGGTAAAACCTTTCTACATTCAAAGTCAGAATAAATGGGACAAAGGTTACTTAACATGATAAAGAGTTAATATATTTACTATGTTAGGATACCTACAAATTATGAGGGAAAGAAAGCAAATGCTCTTTTGGAAAAATGGGTGAAAGGTTTTTGTGAAACATTTTCATTTCACAAGATTAGGAATAGCAACAGATGGCTGTTAAATTTTTAACAGTATGTAGTAAGTATAATACTCTGGTAGTGAGTGCGAAGTAGTGAGTGGAGATGTGGCCTCTAGAAAAATACTTTCTTGGTTGGATAGTGGCACCATCACTCTCCAAGCCTTGGTTTTTCCCTCTGTAAAAGAATTAAAAAGTTCTTTATGGGATTATTATTATTATTTCATTTATTTCATGAAAATAATAAATGAAATAATATAAATGTGTTGTTAATATCTGGCACATTGTGGTCATTAAATACAAGAGACCTAGCATCATTAAAGAAAGACGGAAAAAAGCAAAGAGCTCATCAATTTACAAAATTAAAACAGAATAGAATAAAGAATAGTGTTTTAATGACCTAGGATAATGAGTCTTTTGTAGTTAAATGTAAATTGACAAATCTTCATGGAGGATAATTTAGTTTTTTATATATATACATATATATATATAAATGAAAACAAAATTATATCTCAGACATTGTACATTTCTCTTTATCTTTAAATATCCCTCAAAAACAATTTAAAACATTAAGAAGCTTTTAATGTTTATACTGTGCCATGCCATACATACTAAAAATGTTTTATTTTTCTCACTCCTGTAAAGCATGCCATGATAAAAATCCTTATTTATATACATCTCTTTAACCTTCCTTGCTTGTTTCCAAGATCTAATTTTATAAGGAAAAGCAAGATATGAAAGTCTATGTTGTTGAGTCCCAATACTGAAATTAGAATGGATGGAAGACAAAGGAATGTCTTTTTGTTGCCTTAGCCACAGGCTAATTGCCACTGAGATGGTATATTCATGAGATCAAAGATACTGCCTCAGCCTGTGCTTCTCAGGACATGGCACCCTTTGGGTGTCTCCCCAGCCCACCTAGGGACAGGGGATGTTTCAGAGTAAGATAGTCAATTTAGTACCCCTTACGTTCATTCAGAAATTCAGCAGCCATTTTTCAAATATTTACTATGTGTTGGACACTGTGCTGATATCGCTAACCTTATTTAATTAAATATGTTCTTCATAGATTAAAAAAATTAAAGAAATAGATTGGAAGGAAATCACAAACATTTTAATAGTGCTTATCTTTGGCGGCATGTGTTTTTTATATACATTTTCACAGTAAAGCTTCATATAATAAACTTATATAGTATATTCCCCACACCCAGTTTACTAACCCATTGCTATCTTTCTATTCTCTTATAACAAACAGAAAATACCTTTGCTAGAAAAAAAATGGTATTTTTTTAGGTTGACTAAAGAAGGGAGAAAAATGTGAGTAGAGAAAATCTGGACAGCTTAGGGGCATGAGTGAAGACTTTACATTATTTAAGAAGGTTAATGACTAAATTATTAATGTAGTCTATTGAACTTTCAGAATTTTAGAAGAACTTTAATTTTTTTTTTTTTTTTTTTTTATAGAGGCATGTTTTTATTTATTTATTTATTTATTTGTTCGTTTGTTTCGTTTATACATGCACTGGGTACAGTCAGAAGCGCGGGAGGGTGAGAGAATTCACCAGAGCCAGAGCAGGGAGCAGAGCAGGCAGAAGGACCGAAGTACACTGCTGAGGGGAGCAGCAGGCGGCAGGAGAGGTCTGCGCACCATGTGGGACCCTCCTCCGGTGGCCGGGGAGCAGCCGGGAATCGAACCGGCGCCGCAGAGGCTGCGGGCAGCTTCGCAACCCAGCGCTCAACCGCTGCGCCACCGGGGAGGCCCAGAACTTTAATTATTTTCATTCAAAGTATATTGACAGAATAGTCAGGCAGATTAATATAGCCATTATGAAAAATCAAGGAAAGCCAGAAAAGTTCATCAAATATTTGGATAATTTAATTCCAGAGAAAAGTAGTTTTAAAAATATATACATCATTGACACAGAGGTGTTACACTTGAAATTGGCTCCAAGCATGCAGCAGGATTAAAAAAAAAAATGAAAACAATTTTCAATAGCTAAGAAACTCGGCTTCCGGCACAGCATCAAAGAATTTAATATTCCAAGTAACTGCTGCTAGTTGGATGAAAAACAGAAAATCTCATGCAGAAGGCCTTTGAAAAATTGTCCAAGTATAAACTGTTTTATGTTTTTAATTGTTGGGGTTTGGATGGAGTTGAAATACATAAATGATTATCGTGGTGACTTTCACAGTTTTATACTCTATGAATAAAGGAATAAGCTCCTACATGAATAACTAATCATGGTTGTTTTTGTATGTTCTGTTATCCGTATATTAACTTAAACATTGGGTGGAGCTGTCTTTTGTTCCTTCTGTGCTTCCTTTACTTAAATATCCATGTAAAGCATTTATAATCCAGTACATTGCAGGTCCCTACCATATTACCTTCCATCATACGGCCTCAACACAACTTTAAAAAAAATTCTATGTTCTTCCAACAAATATATATTTTTTAATTAAGTGAACTCAATGGCTATTTGAGCCCATAGTTGGGGCCCCTAATTTGGTTCCTGGTGGACGACAACATTCAGAGGCCTTACCTTGGAGGAAAGGACCTTTCATGAGGTGCTTAGTAAATCATGCTTAGGACATCTGACATTGACAAAGATCATCTTGCAGGTGGAGCACTGAAGGTAAGGGCACCCATTAGGGGTGTCAGAAAGGCTGCCAGAAGCTAGACTGGGGTAGTGATGTAGGGAAAGAGAGAAGGGGTTTATTTGGTTGATTGTCATATTTCTTTCTAACCCTCCCTCACCACCAAATAAATAGCCACCACTTATGTAGCAATTGTTATATGTCAGTAAGTAAGTAATATACAATGATATAATTCTTACATTTAGTAATATTAACATAAACTCTGTGAGATATACTTTTGTTCCCTGAACTGATGGTATTTATCAGTCATTTATTTATGAATGATATTCAGCTATTATCTCTTGAAGGTCAGGGACCATGTCTTTTTACTCTAGTATATTTGAAGGGCTATGTTTCTCAGCCCATGATCTTGTTTTCTGTGCATGCGTGATTTTCTTCCTTATGAATTTAGCATTTTGTTTCCTCTGGTACTTCATGGGAAAGTAAAGATATTAAATTAGTATGTACCTAAAAAGAGAAAGATTTGTTTCTGAGTATAACATAGCATAGAGAAAATTTACAAAAAGCTGTCCCTCAATTTAGATATTTTCCAATATACTTTCTGTTCCTTTGTTATTTTGTTCTCATAATATATCAAGGAAAGGTTAGGAAATGTAGGGCCTTTGAATTTTGTGGATGCATTTTATGATCATTAAGAAATGCTGATCTCTACAAAGTGTCTTTATACTAATTCTAGCCTTCTTCCTTTCCAAGTTTTAAACAAATTTAGGACCTTGGAAATTGCTGATAAAGAGCCTGCTTTTTAATAGGGACGCAGGAATAAAAGGTGATGTTTTATAAAAGTACTGTTGACAAATCAAAGAATAGTAGACTTCTTTGAACTCCCCCAAGTACTTTATTTATACTCCATCATGAAATTTATTTTTCTTATGCCTTGTGTTCATTCATTCAAAAATTGTTCCCTTATGGGATCATGCCATATGGAACTAAACAGTGCTAGACAGTGCTCTTGTGGGTGAAAGAACAGTGCCAAGGTACAGAACTGGTCACTGTCTATGGGTTCTTGCCCATGTATACAATTATAAGACCATTCAGGCTCAGGTAACAGCAACAACGGGGTTTATTTAACAGAGAAGATAGAGAGTTTCTAAGTCTACAGGTGGCTGGCTCTCTCATCCCAGATAGCGTCCACAGTGTCCAGAAGTCACAAACAAAAGGCCACTCTTACAAGATGGTGTTGTCCTGTCAATGAGAGCCTGGAGCTTATGGCACATTGTTGAGCCATGGGCTAGAGCTAACTCATAGAGGTGGCTGGAGGTGCTCACAGATGGGACTACTGAGATGGCACCACAGCATCCCACAGCAACAGTCTGAAGGCTGGGCTGGACAGCACCAGATGCTGGACAGGATGGCAGTTGAGGCAATAGCAGCAGGAGGTGGTACTGGACAATCAGAAGGGTAGACAGCTCTCAGGTGACCCAGACACAGCGCCGGTCACCTCTCAACTGTGCTAGATAGCTCTGGCCAGTAGTGCCAGTCACTACCTGTCACCAGGATGCTTTATCAGAGACACCAGTGTTAATAGCTCTTCATGAGTTTTTGTACTACACTAAAAAAAATAGCTCTTTGAGACGCTAGGCCGAATACTATGGTGCTCCTTTCAGGCGATGTCAGAGGCAGGTTTGGAGGTAGATGCAGTGAACAGGTCTCTGCATAGGTCTTCAGCTTCTCTTCTTTCTTTGGAGCTTGGCTGCTGATCCTTTTTCTTTCTTTGGAGGCTATGAACAGATTGCTGTAAGCTGGCTTCTGCCCTACCTTATATCCTCTTTCAGGGTTTCCCACCCTACAAGTCTGATTGGACCATTTTCAATCCTAAGTGACTGATTGGACCATTTAAAACCCAAGTATCTTATTCTTGTTTTTGATCTGAATAATTAACTAATGAACTGGGCCTTAATCAGATTGGTTCATTTAACTCACATACAATTCAAATATAAAAGGAAAAACTTGGTGCCTACACAGACCTGGCCTCCCCTGACCTCAGGGCAGGCTCATGGGTTGCTGGACTCTGGGGGGCCACAGCAAGAGCTGGGCTCAGTGGTACTAGAGGCACTCTGCGTCTGGTACCCCGTTAGTGGGGCTGAGTATAACAACATATAAGGGGCAAGCACTGTAGCAACACTGCAGCTGCTGCAGGCTGAGCTCTTCTGGTAGCCTGCCATGTTGGCCCAGGACTCCGGCCTCCTACTACCTATGACTACAGGGAGCTGTAATGCTAGAGCTGGCCCGGTAGGGCCAGGACCATAGGCTTGCTGTTGCCTCCTGTACTGGGGCTTGCTCCAGCTCAGGGCAACCTTGCCACTGAGCCATCACTGATGGCTTCTGCCATCAGGCTGAGTCCCAGTAGGGCCACTGGAGGCAGGTGGGAAAGCTCAACCCACTGAGGTGTGCCTCTGTGTAGCTGTCCTACAGCCACCTGCTGCAGGGCAACCTGGTGCTGCCTGGGCAGCACTTCTGGTCAGCCAGAGGGAAACTCCCACTGCTTTTGCCTCCAGAGCCATAGGTGCTCCTGCACTCAAACCTGGCTTGTGCTGGAAGAGGGGTTGCCTGCAAGACAGCATGGTCCTGTGGTGGGTGGGAGCTGCCACTGCTTCTGTCGCCTGTGCAGGCATCCAGCTGTATTTGCTGGGGAGGAGCCAGCAGCACCGACAAAGCCAGTTTGCCCCATGGTGCCTGCCTCAGGGATCCAGTTTCAGAGCATATATTAGTCTTTATTCACAAGCACCTTAGAGTATACACAAGCTAAATATAAAATGTACTAGAGGTATACAGGCTTACCTAGTTAGGTGGCATGTACATATTTGGAGCATTGCATTTAGTATGCAGCAAATGTCTTGTGAAGGAAAGACAGGCTGTTGGAAAATATGTGCTCCAACTCTGGAAAAAAAGCAAGTTAAATATGGCTTCATTGGCATAATCCTCACTCCTTAGTTTCAGTTTCAATTTACTGTGTAGACAACATGGTGTAGTTGATGTCAAGTGAGCCATAGAGGAACTTAAAAACACAACCAACTAAATGTTAAGCTTCTGGTTTCAGAAAAATGATCTCTTTGTGTATGAGACTGGCATCTGACTGGCAGTAAGATTGAAACAGGCTGGTTGTTTTTTTGTTTTTGTTTTTTTAAAAAATTTATTTTTTTATTATTTTTTAAAAGATTTATTTTTATTTATTTATACAAGCACTGGGTACAGTCAGAAGCCCGGGAGGGTGAGAGAATTCACCAGAGCCAGAGAGGGGAGCAGAGCAGGCAGAAGGACCGAAGCACACTGCTAAGGGGAGCAACGGGTGGCAGGAGAGGTCTGTGCGCCATGTGGGACCCTCCTCCAGGGCCGGGGAGCAGCCGGGGATCGAACCGGCGCTGCAGAGGCTGTGGGCAGCTTCACAACCCAGTGCTCAACCACTGCACCACCGGGGAGGCCCCAGGGCTGATTGTTTTTAACAAAAATCTTGTTTTTGTTAATTATTATTATTACCTGTTATAATGTGAAGCTCATTTTATTTATAGGCGTGTGGCAGAACTGTTCATGTTTGATTTTGAAATCAGTGGAATCCATCTAGACAAAGAAAAGGTAAATCTTTCCTCTGTTTTCATCCTTTTACTAACTTTAGTTGTTATCTTTGTTGCAGTAGTCTTTGTATATCTTTTGAATTAGCATATTATAAAAACAAGTTGTTTATATTATGAAATTCTTTTAGAATTTGTATTTGAATGTAGTATTCTCTGGAAGTTGATTACCCACCATACATCAGAATTCAGACATTTGAGACAGCTGGAGTATTTTGATATTAGGGAATTGGAATGAGATGGGCATTATCAGGAAAGATAGGCAAGTGGGTAGGAAAACTCATGCCATTGAAGGTCTGGAACTGGAGTACAGGGGTTGGTTATTATTAAGACCTTTACATAAGTATATTTATTCTGATTATAATGGCTTTGACAGATCCACACAGTTTGTTCTGGAAGTGGTAAACATGGATTATACAGTATTTAAGCTAGCATGAGAGGGGCCTTACAAATTTGTCCACACCTTTCGTTTTACAGATATGGAAATAAAGACAAAGTGATTTGTTCACTTTGTCTAAACTAAAGTTCCCATCTTTAGTATCTAAGACTACTTACCCTGGCTACTGCTCTTTCTAGAATAGTATGTCCTAAGAAACAGAATGTATCAGTTCAGTATTAAGGTCCTATTTGGAAGAATGGGAGTGATTGACCACCACTTGAAAGATCTGCTTACCCTGCAATATCTCCCCTACTTGCCTGCAGCATGGACGTATAGACTATAATGGGCATGCCTTTTTTCCCCAGATAAGTGTTTCTTCTAATACATATAATATAAAGCCATTTAATTATTAATAGGAATTTGCTTATTAGAGAATCTTGGAAAGGAAAGGGAAGGGTTATGGGGATCACGCTGTTTTGATTGCTGATGGGTTTGAGTCATACTGAGGCCTTATACATATTTTTGTGGCTTTAAGGGCTCATCACATGACTCCTGGCCTAATCCCAAGCCCAGCATTCCTCCAAGTAGTCAATGAGGCTGAGAAGTTCTACAGTAAACTCACCTCAGCTAAAATGGGCACATTTATCCTGTGCCAAGCCAATTCTTTATTAATCCATCTCCTACCAATTTTATAACTACTTTCTGAGTCACCCAAATAAAATTTTGGAGTCAGTTTGCATTTTTTCCATTCCCAGTATTTTTATGTTATTCACCAGGTTCTTGGATTGTTTCTGTAGTTTCTCCTGAATCATTCTACATCCCCAAAACAACTCACCATCATTCTTATCACAGAATATCTGTCTTCTTCATACTCATAATTAACAATGATTAAATATTTGCTATTTAAAGCATATATTTCTTATCAGATCTTCATAACTTTGAGGCTGGTACCACTATTAGTTCTGTTTTATAGATATGGGCACCTAAATGTTATGTGATTACTCAAGGTCATGAGACTAATAGGTAGAGGATGCTTTGGCATAAGATTGTTACTCTCCTGCCCAGTACCTTTCAGTGACTTTCATTGCCTGTCAAAAAATTGGTAGTTAATGTAATGAAAGAATTCACATGATCATGCCTTCCAGCTCTCTCTGTGCCCCATTGTAGCTCACTACACTGTGCCTACTGGTAGTCTTCCTCCTATTAATGCTTCATCTTGAGGCAGTCTGTGATGCATTTATCATTTTCCTGGTGGAATTCTGTACTCATCTGAACTTACATTTTAATTATTTCATGCATGTGGCATAACTGTGTTTATTTGAAGTTATTGTTATTATTGTATCACTTATCTGAGTTTTAAAGGCTTCTCAAGGACAGTATGTGGGTCATGTTTCTAATGCTTGCTGGTTTTGGACTTAATATAATACTGAATAAATGTTCCATGAATCATAGTAATGTTAGCTAACATTAATCAAGCTTGATTTCTTAAAGAGGAAGTTTACAAGTAGAAAATCTAGGTAAATAGTTTTATTGTTTTATATAATCCTCATGAAAAATGTTTTTGAGGGCCTCCCCTGGGAAGTAGCAGTTGAGCGCTGGACTGAGAAGCTGCCCACAGCCTCTGCAGTGCCGGTTTGATCCCCGGCCATTGGCGAGGGTCCCACATGGCGCGTAGACTTCTCCTGCTGCCCGCTGCTCTCCTCAGCAGTGTATTTCGTCAGTCTGCCTGTTCTGTTCCTCGCTTTGGCTCTGGTGAATTCTCTCACCCTCCCGCACTTCTGACTGTACCCAGTGCTTGTATAAATAAATAAATAAATCTTTAAAAAAAAAAAAAAGAAAAATGTTTTTGAAATTTTACTAAAAAATAATCTTTGTCAAGTCTAGGTCAGAGTCACCAATAGTGAACCTGCTGTTTTTATCTAATAAGCAAGGATGCTGTCTTTCCTAGCAAGTAACTCCCCACAAACAATAAAGGTACAAGAAACCTGCTAACTTCCTCTCTTAACTTCTATGTGCTTAGTCCCAAGGGTGTTCCACTAGGATAGGGTAAAAGACACAGAAGTTGCACTTTTTATTTTTTTTTAAAGATTTATTTATTTATGCATACAAGAACTGGGGTGCAGGCCAGAGATGCGGGGGGTGAGAGGATACACCAGAGACCAGAGACAGTGGGGAGCAGAACAGGCAGATCTACTGAAATACACTGCTGAGGGGAGCAGCCGGTGAGACAGGAGAGATCTGTTGTACCATGTGGTCACCTCCCTGATTGAATTCGTGCTGTGGTGGCTGTGAATAGCTTCTTAGTGCTGTGTCTTAACCCCTTGTGCCACCAGGGAGGCCCCGAGAAGTTATACTTTTTAAAAGAAAGATGCTAAAATGGACCCACCAATCTAATCTACACATTGTAAAGGCCTAGATTCTTTCTAAATTACTTCTTTTTTAAGGCCTTATATGATTATAGCTTAAAGGTTTCAAATTAATGGAAGTGTATTTGTCTTTTAGCTGTCCTTTAATAAATAAAATTTTAAAGAGTTCTTGAGAGTTCAAAAGTATTGCATATTTAATTATCTCAGAATGATAAAATGAGATGCTTAGCAGATAGTCAAGTTAGGAAGTAAATCCAACTTTTAATTTTCTAGGAATTTTAACAGAAAGTGTATGTCAAATAATTTTGTCCCCCTCTTTTACCCTTTTTTAAAATAAGCATAAAGTAATTTCTAGATATTTTACCTTTTTGTTGTTCCACTGGTTACCATTAGGTGGTGATAAATGACCATATCAGAAACAAAATAGGCAGAGAGAAATCTAGACTATAAAGATGATAGAATATCTGAAAACATTTTTTCCCTATGAATTTTCTAAATTAAAACATTTTGTTTATATATAATATATACTTTTATCTGTATCTTTCAAGTGAACATTTATATCTTATATATTTATCTTTTGAAAACATAGTGCTACTTAATCGTTTTTTTTTAGGGCCATAGTATAGTTTAGAATTGACATTTTAGACAACTCAGATTTTTAGTGCATATATTCTTTACCTGATTAAAGTGCTTTACGACATCTTTATGCTTTACAGCACATGCGTTGGGTAAATAGCTAATATTCCCATTCCCAGAGAGCTTTTCATATGATTTCACCTGAAGCCCATCATGAACCAGTTTCAGATGCCTGTCTAACGAATAATTGAAATTTATCCCTCCTCCAGTAGACCTAACAAATTACATGGACTACAGTTTATGTTTCATCTGAAACATTTGTCACACTGCCCTTTGATAATACACATTTTCTCAGAAAATTGTGTGTACTAAAAGGTGTAACTGCAAGATAAAACCAACACTATCAGGGCCTTTCTGGTGGAGCAAGGGGTTAAGATTCAGCACTATGAAGAAATTCGCAGCTACTGCAGCATGAGAGTTTTATCCCCAGCCAGGGAGCTACCTACATGGCACAGCAGACCTCTCCTGACTCGCCTGCTGCTCCCCTCAGCAGTGTAATTAGGTCAGTCTGTCTGTTCTGTTCCCTACTCTGTCTCTGGTGAATCCTCTCGTACCCCACACCTCTGGCCTGTACCCTAGTTCTTGTGTGCATAAATAAATCTTTAAAAGAAACCAACAGCACTATCATATAACCTGCATTATCACTCTTGCTGTCTGAGAGCTGGAGGTACCAGGTGCAACAGTTTTAGTTGCTTTCTCACGGCTCCAGTCTAGTTTCTCTCACCACTCACAATTAGCCACTCAAAAATATGCACAATTAAAGTTTTTAAAGTGCATTTCCACTTCTGGATGTTGCGCCACTCTGGCAAACAACTGTATTAATCGTTTTTCTTTCCTCTACCCATTTTGTCTAATCTTTGCAACATATTTTCTAGTCCTCCCTTCAAATACTTAATTCGTTTAGTCTAAACATTTAGGCATGATGTTGAATAGGTTCAACTATCTAACTGTTCTCTGATTCACTTAACTAAGAATTTTTTGGGGGGTGATGGGAGGATTCTCTACTTCCTAATATTATTATGATTATTTTTTAAAGATTTATTTATTTATACAAGAACTGGGGTACAGGCCAGATGCGCGGGAGGGTGAGAGGATTCACCAGAGACAGAGCGGGGAGCAGAACAGGCAGACAGACTGAAAGCACTGCTGAGCGGAGCAGCGGACAAAACGGGAGAGGTCTGCCTTGCAATGTGGGATTCTCCTTGGCCGGATGGGAATCAAACCGGCGCTGCAGAGGCTGTGGACAGCTTCACAGCGCTGCACTCAACCCGTTGTGCCACCAGGGAGGCCCTATTATTATTTTTTAAAGATTTATTTATTTATACAAGAACCAGGGTACAGGCCAGATGCGCGGGAGGATGAGAGGATTCACCAGAGACAGAGTGGGGAGCAGAACAGGCAGGTCTACTGAGATACACTGCTGAGGGGAGCAGCGGGTGAGGCAGGAGAGGTCTGCCTCGCCATGTGGGTTTCTCCCTGGCTGGCCGGACAGCTTCACAGTGCAGCACTCAACCGCCTGTGCCACCAGGGAGGCCCTACTTCCTAACATTATTAATGTCAAAGATTAGTTATTTAACTAGTTATAAAATATAACTCTAGAAGTTATGTAAATCTTAAAGCATAGACACTATTATCCAGAGGATCACTTTTTGTCAGGATATTAAATATTAAACTATTATATTATTTACAGCATATTATGTATTGCTTATGGCAAAAATATATTCAATATTCATTTTTAATATGTTTAGTATCTTATAAAGTTATAATTCAATCATATATGTTGATTTTTCATCTTTACAGGTTATCTGTTAAATTAGTTGTGAAATATTTTAAATGCCTTTAGGTAACTTTTATTCCTTCTCTCCCTCCCCCCACATATGTAGCGTAAAAAAGCAGTGGACCTGAATGTTAAAATCTTGGATTTGAGTAGTTCATTTCTTATGGGAACCAACTTTCCTAATAAGATTGAGAAGCATCTCTTACCAGAACATATCCACCATAACTTTGTACTCACTGGTGACCACGTGGTAATTGATGGCCTACATGCAGAAGCGCCTGATGACTTGGTATATGTATTTCATTCTCTTTATAGCTCAGGTCCCATCTGTGTGTTGCTACTGTTTTAACCCTAAACTCCATGATTATATATTCATACCTTAAAAATATTTCAGTGTTACTATACCCTAAAAATTCAACTGTGGGATTATTCCATAATGATAATAATTTAATTATTCATGTCTCATAAAGAACTCCTCATTTTTAAAGTGTGATAGATATCATTAGTAATTGACATTTTAGACAACTCAGATTTTTAGTGCATGTACTCTTCACTTCACCTGGTTAAAGGCTATTTATGACACCTTTATGCTTTATGGCATATAAATTGGGTAAAAGTTTTCCCTATCATACACTATTATAAAAACACCAGTGAAGTATGTTGTTGTATTCATACTAGTTTATGCATCTAAATGTTTTATTCAATGTGTAAACCATTATTTTATTTTTAAAGCAATGATCACCTGCAGAATGAGATAGTAGGCTTAATGTATATTATTATTGCATAAGAACTTATGTTATTACTTTTACCATTTACTTTTAAAATATAGGTACGAGAAGCTGCTTATAAAATATTTCTTTATCCCACTGCTGGTCAATTGAAATGTTTAGATGAACTGCTCAGCAACAGAGATCTTCTGGCAAAATTAGTTGGGTATTCTACATATTCCCACAGAGCTCTCCAAGGAACAATAGCTAAAAATCCAGGTAGGCCTGTTTACCCAACTCTTAAGGACAAAATAAGATTTTTATAGAATTGAAAATAGCTATAAATTAGTATCCTAATTTTACACTTGATCTTAGCCAAAAGGCCGAGAAGTGATAGTATTCTATTTTTAATGTATGCAGAGACCCATTTGTTGAGATGTAGATTTTTTTTTTAAGATTTATTTATTTATGCATACAAGAGTGGGGGTACAGGCCAGAGGTGTGTGGAGGGGGTGTGTGTGAAAGGATTCACCAGAGACAGAGTGAGGAACAGAACAGGCAGATTGACCGAAGTACACTGCTGAGGGGAGCAGTAGGCGAGTCAGGAGAGGTCTGCTGTGCCATGTGGGTTGCTCCCTTGCTGGCCGGGGGATTGAACTCTGTGCTGCAGAGGCTGCGGACAGCTTCATAAGGTTGTGCCTTAACCCCTTGTGCCACCAGGGAGGCCCTGATCTTTAGATAGTAATGATTATTTTAATAGAGCAAATAATTTGGGATATATTCTGCACAATGAAGTTATTTTATTTCATCTGAATGTTGCCAATAAATCATCCTTAACTTTTCATTGATGTTAATTTAAATTTATTTTCATTTTGAGTCAGCTAATGTCTGTTCAATCTAACCAAATGGATAGGGTTAGTATGAAAAGGGATGAAAAATCAATATTTCTGTTGAAGATAAGAATAAATGTAGGTCATATGAAAATATGTACTCCTATAAACCTATTCTGATATAGGAATATTGTTTGGGAAGGTTTATTCTAGAAAGGGGGATGCTTCTTTCCTTGGTTTGTATTAAACTTACCTTGTGCTCTGTTGAGTTCTTTAATGATTTATAGTATAGAAGAAAATGTGACAAAATAATAATGAAAATGTATATAATAAATTTTTTCAAAGGTATTTATAAAGTTACAGATATAATTCAAACACTAAGTGAGGAGTAGGGTTGTAGTGATATCACGGTGGAGCTGTTCAGATTCCAGATGTACTTTGGAGGTTGATTTTATAAGGCTTGATGATGTTTTGAAAGGGAAGAGGAAATGATGTGATGGGTTCCCTAGGGTTCTGGTAGTGGATTGGATGAGTGTGCCTTCTATAGGTAAGAGAACTTATTCTAAGAGAAGAGAAGTTAACTCCATGTGGAAGGAAGACTACATCCTTTTTTTTTTATTTATTTATACAAGCACTGGGTACAATCAGAAGCGCGGGAGGGTGAGGGAATTCACCAAAGCCAGAGCGGGGAACAGAACAGGCAGACTGACGAAATACACTGCTGAAGGGAGCAGCGGGTGGCAGGAGAGGTCTGCGTGCCATGTGGGACCCTCGCCGGCGGGGATCGAACCGGTGCTGCAGAGGCTGCAAGCAGCATTGCAGCCCAGCGCTCAACCGCTGCGCCACCCGGGAGGCCCCTACATCCTTATTTCTATCCTGTCTTTATTCCTTCCATGTTTATCCATTTCTCTAGGATGTTCATATGTTCTCTAAAGTTTTCTTAGATCCACCCTTACTCTGTGTGTGTGTGTGTGTGTGTGTGTGTGTGTGTGTGTGTATTTTTTTTTTTTTACGTCATTGTTCATTTTTGTACAATGCTTGTATGCTTTTTGTTTTCAGGTGTATTCCCTGTAAAATTCTCACCACCAATTTACCCATGGACCATTACCATAGTCCCTTGAACTCTTCTCTCCCCTGTTTTGATTCCTCTACTGCTCCCTCCTTTGCAGAATGTCTCTGATTTACGTTGCCTGCTAATTTTTTTTATTTATTATTATTGTTGGTTTTTTTTTTTTTTCTTGATCCCTTATTTAGTTCCCCACATTCCTCCTGTAAGACCTTTATCTGTTCAGGCTTTCTGTTAAGCCATAGGGATGTCATATTCATTACGTTGCTCATATTTCCCACATGGGGAACAGCTCCCACTTTCCAGTATCTATTAAAATCCTATCCAATTTTTTAGTGGTCAGTTCAAAACTCACATCTTTAATAAAGCCTGTTAAAGTTTTTCATTTCTCTTGGAATCTCTTGTCCCTGAACGCATAAAACAATTATAATTTGTTTCACATAGTTTTGGCTCCAAATAGATATTATTTGGACATTTTGTATGTCTTACTGCAGTCACTGGTTTCCCCAGATTGTTTTAATATTTGTGATTATATTATATTATAATTATACATATTATAATATTATTCAGTGCTTATTCTGGACCATTATTTCATTTAATACTTCTGCAGCCTTGTGAGGTGGATGTTTGTATTTATTTTGACGATAAGGAATCTAAGGGTACATTTTGTTGCTGAAGAGTGGCAGATCTGAAATGCACAGCTCTAAACTTATGGATTTCCATAGGCTGCTTGAGACTAAGTGCCCTATGTGATGTCACCCATATATTCTTTACTTTCATTCATGATTCAGCAAGTATTTTTTGAGGGCCTACTATATGTCAGATATTCTAATCACTACTAGAAACAAACCAGCATAAAAAAGCAGATGGAAATTCCTGCTCTTGTTTATATTTGTAAGGAAGACAGATAAGAGCAAAATAAATAAGGAATGTGGTAGGTTATTAATAACAACTTGTTAGTACAAGTTGTGGAGAAAATTGAATAAAGAAAGGAATTAGGAATGTGAGCATGTAGGGATGGTGTTTTTGCATCTAAATGAAGAAGTGGTAATATTTTGCATTTAGACCTTTGTGTACATAGTCACACAGGATGTGGCCCTGTGTCTCCTTGAAGGATTTCAGATTTAGTTGGGATCTCAGATGTATATACATGGGAGTAATGATACAAATTGGTGTCTTGTTGTCTTTTCTATGCCAAATGCATAGTAGATTAAACAGTGCTGTAGGATTTGGGGAGTTCAATAAACTTGTCAGATTCTCTGTGACTGTTGAGGTCTTATGAAGGAAGTGAAACTTGAGGTGAATAGTGAAGGAATGGTGAGCTTTCAGTAGAGGAGGAAGGTAGGAAGGGGGTAAGCAAAGCTAAAGGTGGGTGTTCATGTGAATTAGGAAGTAACTTTCCAGTCAGGCCTTTATTACTCTCTGTGGATTTCAAACTCATTCTTTCATGAGGACAATTTCCCAGAGAGATTAATTGAGGTATATTTTTTCATATATAGCTAGAAAATCAAAATGGGTGAAAGTAAACAGTGGTTATTTAGATATACAAAATGTATACAAAATTTTGTTTGAAAACACTTCTTTATGACAGTGGGTATATCTTGAAATGTGATTTCATTTTTAAGTTAATAACAGCTTTTTCTAAAATTCCTAATACTAAGTGGCACACGAGGCAGTGTTTTTTGAATTATTCTTATATAAGCTTTTAAGCATTGACAGTGGCAAGGAACCTCATGACTTACTGGTTTAGATTAACTTTCATTTTTCCTCAACCTTTCATTTTACTCAGAAAGGAGATAAATTAAAGAGAGCAAGAAACTTAAAACCATGTAGAAGATCATTTGGGAAATTTTAAAAATGTTTGTGACAAATTCTAAAATATGTATATGAAAACTCAGTACATATAAATCAATGACAAAACATGCTAGATTCAGAAATATACATGAAAAACTTTCTGTCATGGGAAATAATGATAATGTCACTGTCTTGCCTTTATGAATTTATAAAATGGATATAATGACTTACAGCTGAAGTATTTTAAGTACTTAAAAAATTCTAACAGGGCCTCCCCTGGTGGTGCAGTGGTTGACCGCTGGGCTGTGAGGCTGCCCACAGCCTCTGCAACGCTGGTTTGTTCCCCGGTCACTGGCGAGGGTCCCACAAAAAAAAAAAAAAAAAAAAAATTCTAACGAAGTTTAAATTTTTAATGTTCTATTTTTGGTTTCTTTTCTTTTAATGTTGATCCTAAATAAATTATTCTGCAACTGTATATAAAAATAAAAATAACATTGATTTTTAAAAACTAATTTTCAGTGAATCATGTTATCTAAACTGTATTGGTTTTTATGAACAAATCAGCCTAACTATCTCTTAAAAAATTCATAAAAATTAGATGTCTAAGAAAATTATTTTTTCTCTTGCACATATGTATAGATAGAAACGCATTAAAATTTTGGTTTTGTTTCTGTAGCCTCCCATTAACTTTTTTCATTTGGTGATATAATATAAAGCTTTGGATTATTACTATGTTTCTTTATTTTTCTGATAGAGAGATCATCATCATCTAGAAATGTTTACTGTATACCTAGTATACGTTTGTTAGCAACCAGTTTTCCTTTCAAAATCATCCCTTTAGGGCATTGTAGTATATTGATTATGATCATCATATTATAATTTTAGCAGGTGTGTTCACGTTATGTAATTCAAAATACTTTCTTTTGGATTTTATTTTTAGAGACTGTCATGCAGTTCCTTGAGAAACTATCTGACAAACTTTCTGAAAGGTTCGTTTTTATTTTACTCTTTGAAATATGTCATTTTTTAAAAGACTTGATTTACAAAATCAACAAACAACTATGAACCATACAAACTGGGGGGGGGGCAGCAGGGAAAGGAGGATTGGGGTCAAGATAAGAAGTGTGTAATTGTATGGGGAATATAAAAATAAAAAAAAAATTAAAGTAAAAAAAAAGTCTTGATTTATAAAAAAATTAGTAAGTGACCAATTAGGAATGTACATGTAGGATGAATGGGTGAGATCCATGGACTATTCCACGAGAGATTTTAGTAACTATAAGGCACACTTTGAAAGATACAATTTTCTTCCTAAATTGACAATATTAAAAGCTTAGCCCTTCCTTCTAATTAACCAGCTAATTGTCTTTTAGGAACCCATCATTGATATGAAATTTAAAACATCTTCCAGATCTTTTTGAACTGTACCTATATTTGAATTGTACCTATCAATTTTATATCAAGTTCAGAAAGTTGTATTTCTCTTCTTTTGACCAAAATATAGGTAATATTTTAGTAAATTGATCTGTGCTTTTTGCTATTGTGTATTTTAAGAATGCTCTGTCTCAGTGTTTGTAATTTCAAGCTGAAGTGTTTTACTGTCTTTTAGTGGGGCTTGTTCTACTTCTGCCTTCTCCTTTCATGTTGCCCAGTGTCTTAGGTTACATCACTGTCCTGCACTGCCCTCTGCAGTGCTTTATTGAGGGGCGGTGATCCAATTCGCTTCCAGAGACCTGGGTTCCAGGGAGCGGCACGTCATGCTTTGTTAATGAGGGCAGTGTTCTCTCATTTCTTTTTTTATGATGCTGTCTAAAATTTTGTTTGCCTTTTTGACCTCACCAACATATTAAATTTGAGTTCAAATTTTCATTTTCTATTATAAACTCATGCTTTAGAACACAATCCTTTCTAATTTGGATTATATTTAAAATTTTTAGTTTTCTCTTAATTAGTGAACTGCTGTGACTTTGATATAATGAAGAGGAGGTGTTAATTTATGCATTTATTTGAATTTGTTCCACTTTGCATTGTTGGCTAATTTTAGTGTTCTTTCTCCACTTGTATGTAGGAATAATTTGCATTTTTAGCAAATATACCTTTAGATTTTTATAATTATATGTGAGTTAATTCTGACAGAAATTTCATATCCTAAAATATTAAGTACGTATTTGGTTATTAACACAACAAAGTTTTTCTGTAGAGGAAAAATTGTGAATACCAATCTTAAATATAATCTATGTTAATGTTCTTTTTTGGAAAGTAATTTATTAGCCTTCTACCTTTTAAGTTATAGCAAAAAGTAGTGATTTGAAATACTCTGAATGCTTGTGTAACATTGTTAATTTCCCCAAACCTTAGTGCTTTCAAGATTTATATCTGCCAAGATGCTTTTTTAAGGTAGACACTGTAGTAATTTACTGAGGTACATATTGCAGTTTCTTCTTACATATGTAAAATTTGAATAAATACTGGTTTATAGTTGCAGTACAAATTACTTCTAATTTTATTATGAATGTTAGAAAGTAACATAAACATAAACAAACTAGTTTTTTTTTAATGTAATTAGTATTTTGTCCTAACAATGGTAAACCTATTTTCCAGAACTATAAAAGATTTTGAGATGATACAAAGGATGAAAATGAAACTAAATCCTCAAAATTCTGTAAGTGACTATGTTGGATTATTTTTATTATAATATAAACACTGTAATATTGATGTAACTATCTTTTGACTCTAGAACTTCTCTGATATGCTGATGGTGTATGTAATCTCATTTCTAATCTTTGGTTTTGGTGAATACATTGAGACATTTGATCCATATCATGAACCTGTTATTTCTAGGAAATCATTATTTTTGTTGATTGATATAAAATACATATGCACATACACACTTATAAATGTATATTAATACAATGCATATTAATATATACTCCTGGATATCTGGATTCTCAGAGGCAGCCTTTAAGGATCCTCAGTGGAGGCTTTATCTGGCAGGTGGCAGTTTTAACCACCAGTGTTAATGTTGAGGTTTTCTCATTTGTTTGCTGAATTGTGGAACTCAGTAAACAGATCAATATTGACTGACAAAACATAACCCCACCCTAAAAACATTTGTGTTGTTTTCGTTCATATGAATAAATGATTACAGGCTCTTACAGTACAATCAGGGTGTCCTTATGGTATAGCCAGAAGGTTGCTAAGTAGTTGGGATATCCTAATAGAATTCCACTTATTAGGACACTGGTTATCATTTGGTTCAAGGGTGCTACAGGTTTGTGGGGTTGTCTATAGAGGTGTGGCCAAAGTGGAGTGACAAGGGAAAGAGTTGTAGGAGATGGGCTCAGACACAGTATGTCAAAATCAGGCAATCACAGGTAGTCGCAAAACAGGCAAGCATTGGTGTGGGGAGTCCTTAAGGATGATCTACTCAGTTATTTAAACTCTCCTTTCTTTTATTATTCTGTACTAGTTGTTAAACAAAACAATAATACTTCCTTATGACATAACTTTTCTTTGCCTAGATTAGAGTTAATTCTGTCTTAGTTAATATTTTAAATTGTTCCTTTCATTTTTGGGATCCACCCTTAGCTTCTTGCTTAGATTTAGAAAGAACCTTAATCTTACCTTTTAGTACCCTAATCTTACCTGCAATATATTTTAGGGATTAATATATGTGTTACATTTTTGGAAGAATTTTCAATGGGGCTGAATTAATCCATGTTAATTTACATTTTAGATGACATTTGTTGACCTTTCTCCCATATTCTGGCATTATGCCTTATTTATGCCTCTCTACTCATTGATTACAGGCAAGTGAAAATAAAGAAGCAGATATTTCCTTCTAAATCATGGATTCTGATATAATAATATAATAATAGGTGTACATTTTATAAGCTGACTAAATTATTGGTAAGACTGTGAAATAGTCAATAGCTTTCATACAGTGAATTATTCCATTGTAGGAATTAATGCCTTGGGATCCCCCCTACTACAGTGGTGTGATTCGTGCAGAAAGGTAAGTTTTTTGAGAAATACTCATGAGAAGGAAGAAGGAAATGTTTATTGAGCACATTGCACATTATTTATGCAACTACTCTCTTCATTTAGTTGTGCATGTAACAAAACCATATGCCTTCAGAGTTTGGCATTCTGCTGGCATGGTCAGCATCTGCCCATATATTATCTCATCTGGTACATTATGCTGTGTTCTCAGTCATACTTTAGTGCTCCCCCACAGGCCTGTTCTTGTGTCTCTGAGGTCATATCCTTGTTTAAAACTTTTACATATCTCTCCATGGGTGTCCAGAATCTGGCCTTTTCCTCCCTTCCTCTCCCCTTTGGCAGCTTCCTTGTTCTCGTACTAGATTGTGAATATTTTGGGGACTGAGACTTTGCTAGAACCCTGGTTGTATCCCCTTTCTGGTGCTCAGCAAATATTTGTTGAAGCATGGAAGCATAAAGTAGTAGTTGGCATGGTGCTGTGTGATTTTCTTGTTTTTATTTGAACATGTTGGCAACACATTATTGGCTCATCTGGAAGGATATAAATGAAATAAAAATTTGGGAAACTTGATTGAAATACTCTTCTGGCTTCTGTATTTGCCTGTTATTATATTGTGGCATGGTAGTAGAAATTTTTTTTCCCCTAAATATACCCTATCTCTGTCATCTTTATATTTTCTTGTAAACCCAAGTTTGTTCAAAGTGTACACACTTAAAAGTGCACCCCAAACAACTTTATGTGCATACTAGTAATTAAAAAAAAAAAACTGTTTCCTGCTCTTTAACAAATCATCAACATTTTTCTCTTATAGTTTATTTTTGAGATATGCAACTAAGAGAGTTAAGATTGATTTAAGTAATGAAAAGAAATACAAGTTTTGTTTTCTTTTTCCTCATTAAAACATATTGGCCTTTATCCTGATAATATAGTTATTTGATTGGTATTAAGCTTTAAAGCCTTTGTTACTGTGCATTATTCAATGTCAAGTAATGGGCATTAAGTACATCAATATGATTTCTTTTGGAATTTGTCATAAAAGCAGTATACAATTTTGCTTTTGGGCAAGAGGAGGGATCCTAAGATTGGTTAGTGTTCTAAAGAACTTAACCATTTAATTTTCATTCATTTTCCTCTCTTTGGCTTCTCTGTTACATCTCCATTCCCAAAACTAATCTTATTTACAGAGCGTCATTATTTCATAACCTTTAGATAGCAATACTTTGTTAGCTACTATTTTTTATAACTGTATCCCAAATTCAACTTTAGCCATCTACTTTATGAAAGTGCATAAGCTGTTATTAAAAATCAGTATTTTATTTTAATGCTTAGACTAGTTTATAACCTAGCATGTTTGTTTTATAAATGTATTTATTTCATAAGTATGTTTTATCATTGCCAAAATTCAGACACTGCTCCCTATGGTTGTGTAAAAATTAATTTCTCTTTTAAAATTTTTTTCAAAGAAAGATTTACTTGGTCAAAATGTCGCATAAAGGAAAAAAATGTAGCGTAAAGGGATACTAAATATTTTTTATTAATGCTTCTCATGTTTATATAAAATATTTATTTTTTGACATTGGGAAGTAATTAAATTAGATATATTATTTCTTTTTAAATTTTGCTGCTATAATTTTTATGTGGTATTCCTCCATAACAGGGCCCCCTTATTTTAATTGATCATTTAGCCTTAAATGTAAGCAGTATTTTTGTTATTTAACTGTACTCAGTAAGTAGAATGTGGCTACATGGTGATTCTGTGAATATCATACAAGAATATTTGAAGACTTGGAAAGATATAATTCACTTGGTATTTATATGCATTAATTAAGTATGAGATCCCTAAAAAGTTTGATAGTGACCATTAAATAAAAACTATTATAGGGCCTCCCCGGTGGTGCAGCGGTTGAGTGCTGGGTTGCGAAGCTGCCCGCAGCCTCTGCAGTGCGGGTTCCATCCCCGGCTGCTCCCCGGCCACCGGAGGAGGGTCCCACATGGCGCGCAGACCTCTCCTGCCGCCCTCAGCTCCCCTCAGCAGTGTACTTCGGTCCTTCTGCCTGCTCTGCTCCCCGCTCTGGCTCTGGTGAATTCTCTCACCCTCCGCCCTTCTGACTGTACCCAGTGCTTGTATAAATAAATAAATCTTTTAAAAAAATTATATAAAAAATAGTGACCATTCCTATCCATTTTTACCAAAAATACAACATTAGAACATCTTTATGTTGCCAGCTAACTCTGGAGCCTGTGCACAGAGATCCCTAAGCCTGCAAACAAGCTGGGAGTTCTCACTCTGCTCTCCAGTCACAGAGATGAGTCTTATTGTCCAAACTGACCATTGCAAATGATGGGCACACTGGAGCTGGCATGGCAGCATGGCCAGGACCATGTTCCTGAAGTTGGAGAGAACTGGGAAGTCTTAAATCCACCATTAAACAAGCTATAGATTAACTTTGGAAAGATATTTATTCTCTAAGCATCTTTGCAAGATTATCTATAAAATAGGGGGTATAATTTTCTCTACTTGATATAACTCAGGATTTAATGAGATAATATTTGTATTATTAGTACTAAAATGGACATTATCCTATGGATTGACCATCTTGGTCATTCTTTTAGAGAATGGTCCATTCTAAAAGATACATTTTAGTGATCTCTAAAATTTTTTGAAGGAGGGGCCGATTCTCCTCTGATGGAAACACTCGTCTAAAATGTATTTCAAGTGTCAAATTAGTTTTCGGCTGCTTATCAGGAATTTTGAAGTTAGAAAAAGATTACTTGAACAAGAAGTTGCTCTGGCTAGTGTTTCCCAGTGTCACAGTTTCCAGAGTGGAGGAGCCCAGTGTCTGACTTCAGAAGAACCCATTTTTGGTGACTTTCCTCTTCAAGGTGGTGGGGTCACATTACTGCCTGAAAAGTAAATTTGGAGCTGTCATTGACCTACTGTTTTTTTTTTTTTAACAATAAATATACATATCCACAGTTATTTGTTGGGTATAGCTTGCCCTTCTATTTCTCTCCCACCACCCTTACCCCCCACCCCCAATTTACCTCAGCCAAATTAAATTCTGTGTCTCCTTGCTAGATCCCCTTCTGTCTCAAGAGACAGAGCCTGAATCTTTGCCTTCTTTTGCAGTCTTATCTGTGAAATTTTACCTATAGTCCATGAACCTTTAGTTCTGTACTAGTCTGTAGCTCCTGCTGCCACTCTACTTTCAGCCTAAATAAATACTATACTGTTCATCTTCTGAATATGTGTTCCTATGTGTCATATCACTAAATGTGTCTGTCAACCATATCTTAAAACTCTTAAGAACAAAGTCTATCTGATTTCTGTTTGCAGTGAAATGCAGATTATACACTGCAGGCTCTTAATACATATTGATAATCATTGATTAGACCTGTGTCTAAATCAGTAATAGAAAACCCTTATTAAAAGTAATCCAGGGATGCATTTTTTTGGTAAAGAGAATATCATATTTTTGTGGATGATATTTTCATTTATTACATTTGTTGAAAGCAGTGTGACCCTTTGGAGGTCATCAAAATGCACATTTGATGATGGAGCTTTCTACCATGCTTGTTGGTTCTTTGAGTAATAAATCACTAGCTGTTCTGGGAGAACAGTGTAACCTACTCAAGATACACAAGTGACTTCCATTTATTTAATTAAAGTTTTTTTTTTAATTTTATTTTTATATTCCCCAAACAATTGCAACCCCTTTATTTTGACCCTCCCCCCCCATAAAGTGTCTCTGGTTCATAGTTGTTTGTTGATTATGATTTTCACTTTCTTATAGATATTCATTTTCCTGGTCCCTTATTTAAGTTTTCTAGATTCCTGCTATGAGTGAGACCATCTGATATTTTTCTTTTTCTTTCTGGCTTCAAATTAACTTGACTATCAACTAAGTAAAAGAACCAGGAAAATGATGCAGATGGGACTATAAAAATTGGGGAGATTGAACATCTGTTTTAAGTATCTTAAATGGCAGATAGTTAGTTTGAGGTTTCATAATCTTGATTGACTAGAATAGATTGAGATGCACAGCTAATGGATGAGAACGAAAGGGAAAATATAATAGTTTGGGGTTGAGGTTAGAAGAGCGAAACAAAGTGAAAATTTCTAAATCCTTTCCTGTGCTGTCATTGTCTCGTTTCAGTATTAGAGTAAAGTTGGTAACATAAAATGTGTTATTAGCTGTGGCTACACGTATAGCTCTGGCTAAATAGATAGCTTTGGCTAAAAAGTTTAGTAGTAAGGTCAATAGAAGTGGTCTTCCTTCTTGTATTTTTAAAAACAATTTGAATAAGATGGGCGTTAGTTCTTTAATGCTGAATAATATTCCATATTCTTCTTGATCCACTTGTTTCACATTTTGGCTATTGTGTATAGCTTTGCGATAAACATGGGAGTGCAGGTTTCCTTTTGAATTAATGTTTTTATATTTTTTGGATAGATACCTAGGAGTGGTATTACTAGATTGTATGACAGATCTATTTTTAGTCTTTTTAGAGACCTCTTCATTGCTTTCCACTCAGTCTGTATTCCCACCTCATCTGTGTTGATGCTGAAGTGTTTTTAAAGTAAGCCCTAGATTCATGCCATCTGATTCTTATGTATTTACTATGTATCTAGCAACTTTGGATATTTTCTAATATAACCCCAATATATTTTTACCTAATAAAGTTCACAGCTTTTTGTTGACATCATCTAATATCCAGTCTATGTTTATATTTCCTTGATAGTATCAAATCTTGTTGAAATCACGGGACCATTTCATTTAGTTTTTCTGTTTCCTAAGTTTCATACTCTGGAGCAGTTCTTCATGTCTCATGCTTCTGCCCCATCTTCTACCTTTTCCATGTTATCAACTTGTTGAAGAGACCAGATTCTTTGTTTTATAGGATTTCCAAATGTCTGGATATATCTAGCTGTTGGTTCCTCTAATCTTATAAACCCACTAAGCTGTTTGTTATACATACAGCTGCCCTTTCTCATTGTTTTTGGTTATTCT